ACCCAAGGCACAGTCCCTATAAGCCCCTCCCCCCAGCACGCAGGGTGAGTGTGTCCCCAAGGCACAGTCCCTATAAGCCCCTCCCCCCAGCACGCAGGGTGAGTGTGTCCCCAAGGCACAGTCCCTATAAGCCCCTCCCCCCAGCACGCAGGGTGAGTGTGTCCCCAAGGCACAGTCCCTATAAGCCCCTCCCCCCAGCACGCCTCACAGACTGGCAGGATTCCCTCATAACCTCCATGCTCACCAGCATCACCTGCATGAGGCCCTTATCAGCCCGGACAGGACAGCCCTGAGTTTGTGGACCAGGGGCCCAGCTGTACCGCAAGCTGTGTGCCCTGACTGCTGTGTGTCCTGACCGCTATGTGCCCTGACCGCTGTGCTCTGACCACTGTGTCCTAACCATTATACCCTGACCGTAATGTGTCCTGACCGCTGTGCTCTGACCACTGTGTCCTGACTGCTGTGTCCTGACCATTATACCCTGACCGCTGTGCTCTGACCGCTGTGTCCTGACCATTATATCCTGACTGCTGTGTTCTGACCATTATACTCTAACCGCTGTGTTCTGACCTGCAGCCTCAGTGGACAGCGCCTCCCTCCTAGTGTCAGAGGTGGCCGACATGCCGTACCACAGCTGCTCCTTGGAGGACCTGGGCTCCCTGCGCTCTGCCTCCGACTCCTCCCCCTACAGCGCCACACGCATTGTGCCCACCGACGGCAGCTGCACCAGCCTGGAACACAGCGCGCGCTGTGCCCTGCGCCACCCAGCCCCCGCCCCCTCCGACAGTGGCCGAGGCGAGTCCTGCCACCCCCAGGACTGTGCCGCTGGCTGTGCCCATGAGCGCTCACACGACTGGTCGCCCGAGAACGTCAGCATGCTGGGACGGGAGGAGCTGCTGGGAGCCACACCCACTCGGCCCCGAGGGAAAGCCAGTAGGGTGTTAGCTCTGTCTCTGCCCCCGCCCCCCAACTCCGCCTCTGCTTCTGCTGCCCCGGTTGCTGCCAGCTCTGCCCCAAGTCCCTCTGCCTGCCCCTCCCCGACCCCCCAGCCCTGCGGCCATAAGCTCTGCTTTGGTGTATGGTCACCCACGCTGCCCCCCTCTGACTCCACCCCCAGCAGCTCCTCCCCCTCCGATCGACCCCGCCCCCGTCGCTCAGCCAGGCACTACCAGAGGCTGCCCTGCATCGTGCGCTCCACCAGTGACCCCATCTCCTGTACCTCCACCACGGGAAGTGAGTGTCCCCTGTGCTGAATGTGTGTCTGGCCTGAGCCAGCCACCTCCTCCTTTAAAGTAGGAGGTCAGACACTCAGAGCCTCTATTTTTAACACCACTCCTTTGTGACTGTTACTGGTGCAGACTGTATTCAGTTCATAAGCTAACAGTTTACAGTTACATGTTTTGCTATTAAACTTGTGCCAGTATCACTCTCAGCTTTTTAATATATGGCCTCATTGTCTGCTCCTGTTGTTATCTCTCCAAAGGCAGCAGCTGTAATTCGGCTCCTGCTAGTTTCCAGCCCATTGACAGCTCTCCACAGACCTCACCTGAGCCAGGTAACACTCAGACGCTCCTCCCTTTGGCACGGGCAGCTCCCCGAACCCGGGCCCTCGCACCCTTATCTGAGAAATGACCGCGTGTGTCTGCTTCCAGCAGCCTGCTCTGAGCATACAGCAGTGGTGGTCTCCTACCGGGACGCAGCCAGGCACGGCCCCCTGGGCCACTGGAGGCGACAGGAGGCCGGCAGGGTGGACATCCAGCTTCGGCCCCTGACCTCGGGGACCCCTCCCAAGGACCGGCCGCGCTCGCTGGCCGACTTCCAGACCTACAGGGACACCAAGATGCTGGTAGCCAGGCTTCTGGAGCATTCCAGCTGCAGCCTCCCACCTGAAGTGCAGCAGGTGGTCGACAGCATCAAGTCCGTCATCAGGTCTGAGGAGAGGCACATGGAGGAGGCGGTGATCAGCGCCGACGTCATCGGCCGGGTGAGGCGCGCACCGCGCTGCACGTCTGGCTGCAGAGCGGCAGGCCAACTGACAGCTTGTTCATTATCTCCCCAGACGATGAGGCAAACGCACAGAGGCTCTCGGGCTCCCCGCAAGCGGCACGGCGACGACCTGCACCTGCACAGCTGTGGCGCGCTGAGCTCGCCATCTCTGCGGCGGTGCCGTCCAGGCCCCCGGGCCCGGGCCCCTACTGCCACACCGGGTGCCTCGCCGTCCGACCTCCCTCAACGGCCTGTGAGCGTGTGTCGAGAGACCATCCTCTGACCCGCCACCAGTCACGGATCGACCTCCCAGCAAAAAAAAACAAACATACGATCTGACGGTGTGCGACGACCGGCCCCCTCCTGCGCCGCGCAGACGGCTGCTCTCCGGAGACGGAGACAAGCGGGTGGCGAACAAAAGATAATGTACCAGCCATAAACACAAGGGGCGCTGTGCCATTACTACTCTAACTAAATACACAGAGAATAACAAGATCAAGGAACTTTTTAAGCTAACCTAACAGGGAAGGCGTAGAATTTTATATTAAAAAAATTAAAATAAAAAAAAAACATTTTTTACTCATCTGTGAATGTGATGATCCTTAACAAAAGGGATGTGGCCCAGTTCCTTCTGCGACCTAAAGGTCCAGTTCGCACACTGGTGCCGCCGGACGTCAGTTATTTATTTTAACCACAGTGTGTTGCAGTTCTTAATCAGTGTTACAATAAAAGATGTTTTTACCTCTTCGTGTGGCTCTAATCTGTATTTCTCTGCACAAAAAATGGCATGTTGCATTTCCATAAAATTTACTTTTATAAAATACATCTTAGTGGAGTGTTGTAAATAAGCACATCTGAGGTATTTTTGAAATAAGATACATCATTGTACTTTTGTTCCACTTACTCGAAGGCCTGGAGTCCAGTGAAAGGATCACAGCAGTGACACCCAGAGCTGACACTGGCAAACTGCAGTGCAGAAATGAGGTATTGCATGTTGTGCTTGGGAGCTGCGCTCTGCTGTTGTCAGTAGCAGATTTTGTGCAGGTTGCACCCCGTCTTTCTGAAAGATGGATGGATGAACTTTGATGCCACTTGAATGTTGTCAAAGATCTGAACTGTGCTTGATGTGTGTGGTCATATGAGAAAGTGTATCGGCTTCGCAACTGTATATTATACTGAAGGTTTTTATTTTATTGTTTTTAATGCTTAACTTACTACAGCGCCCCGGGAAATCTATACGTTAAGTCATGGATGGTGACATGTTGATACACATCTGCTTTAGCACAAAAAGGGAATTTCATGCTTTAAACCTCACTGAATAGTGTTGAATAGTGTCACACATTTTAAAAGTCCTGTGTTGACTGTACACATACATATACATATGGTCTACTGCCACAGGCACTGTCTCATTTGCACAAACTTTTCAGACAAATTACATGGGTGAAAATCTGGACCAAATTTTTACACAGATTTTACCAAAATTGAAGCAGCACTGTTTAGTAGCAGCAAAAGGAATGGTCACTCACAACTCACTTGTGAACATGATAACTCAAAAAGTACTTGATGTATCTTATTACCACTTCGCACAACATATGGATTAAGTGATACACCTAATTTCATTTTCAGACAAAGCACCCTAAAATTAAAGCAGCAGAAAAGGAAAGAACTTGTGCAGACAGTAACTCTAAAAGTATTTGATGGACCTTTTTTTTCCACATTATATAGGTGAGGATCTGGGCCCTATTTAATTTTGAGACAAATTACTTAAAAATGGAGCAGTGTCACTTAGTGGTGGTTCATGAAAGGACAGCCACAGACCCAGATCTAGTAAACCTGATTACATTGAGACAAGTGAAAAAGTTGGACTTTTAATACATTTCTTTGGAGAGAGTGTGTGGGGGGGCTAGAGATTGTAGAGTTTATGGGGTAAAATGTTTTATTTGTTATATGTACACAGGGCATACAGTGTAATGAAGATCTATAAGCAGGATATACTGTACTATGCAAATACAATTTACAAAAAAAATAAGGAAAAATATGTATGTACAAATTTATGTGCATATAAACATGCCTTACATACTGTACATAAACTCTCAGTACAAAAAATAATGTACGGAATATATACAATATAACTATAAATATATGGTGCATAGCATGAACAGCATATGTAAATTATGATATGTACCATGCACTAGGAAAGTACAATAGATTATACAGTATGTAAATGATGACCCATCGAGTGAATTATAAATATTTGTTATCCTGGAAACCAACTGAAATTGTAGAGGGGGACGAGGAAGAGTCATCCTGGTATTTGGGTAGATGCCTGTGAACTTTTCCTAAGTTCTTCATAAGTCTTTCCGTTCTTGATTTGAGGCATCAAGGACATTTCCCAGACCTCAGCCACTCAAACAGGTTGAAGAACATGCAAGAGGAGCCCTTCATGATCCTGGCTGCCCTGGCAGTGAACCTTTATGTGAAACGGTCCTGCTGAAGGGCCACGGATAATCCCACGAGTGCTCAGCTGAGCGTGTAACTATCTGTGTGGTCTTCTTTGGAGCTGATTCCAAACCAGGCAATGCTGTTACATTCTAATATGCTTTTGACAGCCATGTGGTAAAAGGTCTTAAGGACACTTAGTGAAACTCTGAATATCTTCAGTGATCCGAGGTGACAGAGGCATGGCTTAGCCGTCCTCACCACGATATCGGTATGTCTGGTCCATGTTAGGTCAGACCTGATGTACATTCCCAGGTATTTGTATGGGAGGAACGGGGATTAGATAGGGGAGGGACAACTGGGGAGTACATTGTCGTTGTCTTTACAATATCTCGTGCCAGAGAGGAGTGTTTTTCTCTAGGATGTGATGCAGAGATCAAATGCTCTGCCAGCAAAGCCACAGATTTAAGAAGCATTCTTGAAAACTCACCAAATACGAGTTCAAGGTTGTATGTCATGAATTGTGGCCGTTTCTGAAATGTTTTCATATTTCTCTGCAGTTGTTTATGCAGTTGAACCTGATTTGCAGTCATACAGGTCAAGGAATAAAGGTGATGCAATCAAGCATAACTTTTTCAGTGATTGTATTGGGCAAGCTCAGCTGGTTGTTTCAACCTTTTTGTCGGATATGGAATCAATGTCATTTCAACATATGTGTGCTATCTGGGTATGTACCACTTCAAATTGAAACTCTCGCCTTTACCCAGCCTCACAGATATGTGGTGGAAAACTGAATTGGTGAGTTTTTCAGAACCATCCGGCATGGCAGCTGGATTCCAGTAACTTTAGAAAAAAAGATTCACTAGATAAGAGTTATAAGTGGGTAGTTGACTGAAAACTGTTTCTGTGACGTGTTAATGTTAAATGTTAGCATCGTATGCTTACGTAGTACTTTCAGCAGTGATAGAGTGGTAACAATTTATGAATGTGGGTATTAGATGGGTATTAAGTAATCAAAAATGTGGAGTCGTTGAATAGGTTATATATATATACATACACACACACATTTGTAATTCGACAGTTAAATGCTTTTCACCTAAACCGGTTACACCTGATTTATTTCCTACAGTGATGTGTACCAGGCCGGCCGCCTTTTCATGAAAGGTCACGCAAGTAAAGCGTAAAATGCCTCCCTCACTCTGTCCTGAAGTAGGGGGATGTGGCGGACACCGGCTTGCCTACGAACACGGAACTTAAAATGCCCTTCGCTCGAAAACCCGAAATGTCCCGCCCATAAGGACGCTGCTCCAATCCGCTTCCTCTCATGGGCGTGACCTACGTATCGGGCCAATCGCAGGAGCTTGCGCTTCGAGAACGTGCCTATTGATTGGATTTGTCCGGGGCTCGTTACCCCGAATCGAATGTAACACGGAGACCGATGTTGAGTGCAAATTAGGGGCTTTGGGTAGCATTTAATGGTAAATCCTACGAAGTAAAATTGGAAGTTGCGTCTGCTTTTAGTTTCCCCCCAATATGTAGTGTTGGATGAGATTACTGTAGTGAGAAATATCCGCGGAGAATTAGAGTATAAGGGAGCGAGTGGAGAGCAGACATTGGGCGTGTAGTTCGGGACGTTGATCGAGACGCGTCTGTAGTTATATGTTTATTAGCAGCTTGTTTGCAAGTGCTTAGCGTGCTCTGGTGCCTGGGAAAATTAACTCCCGTTTGGATAACGAAATGCGGGTTTTTATGTCTATGCATTGTCCGCCAGCAGTTGATTGTAGTTAAGTTGCACTGATTTCTGGAGTCGTTCGTCCACTTTGTTTAAGTTCCCCTGCGCGCCTGTCGTGCCATTTAATGGTTAACAGAACAAAGTGTGCCTGATGTTATAGTTCACTTACTATCCAGAAAGCTGTAGCTGACAAGATTTCGTTTTTTTTTTTTTTTTTTTACTTTGAGAGTAAACAATAGCGGGAGCGCCATTCGCCACCTCTGCGGAAGAGGAAGGACGCGTCGGTGTCCCGGGCCAGCATTCAGCCGGCGTGACCGTGGCAGCTGTTGGGCGTGTAGATATTAAAATGGGAGACTGCAGGTAGTGTTTCATAGTAAACTTGCTGGATCGTCTAGTGTGTAGGAAGATCACGGGGAAATCTACTGTTTTCAGGTGCGATTTGACTCTTGGGCGCGCTGTAAAATGATGGGCTTCAGTGCCAACCGCAGGGGGGGTCGCCTCCCGTCCTTCGTCATGATCGCGCTGGTCATCCTCGTCCTCTTCATTTCGTTCAACTACTGGGACGTGTCAAGACAGCGCGGCCGCCTGCTGGAAGAACTGGCGGAGGCGCAGGCGCAGGTGAAGCGCACGGACTCGGCGCGCAGCCGGCTGGAGAAGCGCAACTCGGAGCTGATAGTGCAGGTGGAGGGGCACCGAAAGGAGATCGATCAGAAGGAGGGCGACCACAACACGCTGCGTAATAGCCTGCAGGCCGTGGAGGTGCAGTTCAAGAGATGTAATGACGAGAAGGTGAGATGTGTCATGTACTGCTGTCGTAAATCTCCATCATCCAGGATGAGAACTTCTGGTAGTAAATTTAATCGCGCTGCATCGCTTGATACTTGGTCGATAGCAATTCATCCCGATTTATTTAAATGCGACGAAAGCTTCATGTACGGGAATTGTGCCGGGAGCTGCTTTGCCCAATGATGTTTGTAATCAAAGCAACTGTGTGTTTGAAGTATGGGTTGGGTAAAGTTGACAAAGGTATCCCGTGGATGCGGGGTTTAAGGCGGGGGCGGCGTGGAGCCCACGTCATCAGCAGCTGAAGCCTGTGTAATGAAGGCCATGTCTCCGTCACCAATGCTCCTTTTCACCACACTTGTAGTGTATCTCTGGAGACATGTCCAGTGACGATGGACAACCCCCCTTTTAAACAGCTCCCTATTAAAACCTCAACAATCATGCCAAATCCCATAGGGGCATGCAGTGAAGTAAGCAGTGTCCTCTGTCTCTCCAGACCACCCAGAGTTTTCAGTTTGGGGGGGGGGGGGGGGGATTATCCCTTTCTTCCCTGGTATCCTAGTAAATCAATAGTCCTCCTGGAGTTGCAGCCCACACTGAGGTTGTTCCTTAGTACCAGCTTGGAGCCTTTGGCTGTAACTCTGTCTGCCGGATTCTGTTCTCCTACTTTACGTCTTGGCCATCAGCTTTTATCATGGAGGCGGGGGGGCTGTTATTCACACGGCCCTCTCTGGCAGCGGCGAGTTAGGTGACACTCTGACGCCGTCCCTGCTCATACTCCACGGCTTCCCGGGTAATTATATGGCCTCGATTAGCGATAGATTCTGAAAACCAAGTGACACAGTTGTGAAAATGTCAGCTATTCTATTCCAATAAACGGCACTCAGTATAAAAGCAACAAAGCATTTGATGAGACTCTTAGTAAGGTTTCTTGTATGAAGCATCTCATTTCCTCCACGCCTCCCTCCACTTTCGTTTTTGTTGTGGCTCATTTTTTCCCTTCAACCCAGTTTGGGCAGCTTTTCACAGCAGAATGTTTATGCATTTTAATTAAACAAATTGTGCTAATTGAACTGTTTTAGTCTAAAATTATGCTATTAGCAGTTTTAAGGTGATCTGGATTTTATTGAAATCTCTTCGTTCTCTGTTCCCTTTAAATCGAAGCATCAGTGTGATCTTTATAGTTGCGGAGTGCGAGCCGGTTCCCAGGCAGAGAGAAACACACAAAGTGCCCTGAAAGTGGGGCAGTCCTGGCCGCGGAGGATCTACGGCCAGCTGGACAGGGAATTTGTCTGCATGCTATCTGCCCCTGTCAGCATATCTCTTCCTCTTTCTCCCTCAGATGAAAATTCAGAGCGACTCTCTCTCACAATTATCAGAGATCCAGCGGCTTAAAGGTAAGCGCATCGTAGACAGCTGGCTTTTATTTAGACAAAGTGTAACACTTGTGTTTCCTTCCTGGCTAAAGAGTAGAGCCCCAGCAGCTCTCTGTTGTACCCACATTAAAATTGGCCGTTGTGACCCCTGATCACAGTTCTCTGTTCTGTTAAGGGAATTAGTTTTGTATGGTTGTCTTTCTGTTGTCGAACCAAGATGTAAGGCCATATTTAGCTTGCTTAAGTCACGTGGCATTTCTGTGACGTGGGTCACTGTCCCTACTTTTCTCGTCAATTTCCAGAAAGCGTTTTCTGAAGATTTTAACCGCTCTGCACTATTCCCAAAGTGAGAGGAGAGTAGGGGGTGGCATTTGTAATATCGCACCCTTTGAATGTTGGTCTGATAAGTACGTAAAGAAAACGTGGAGGACAGTGAGTGACGTGTTTGTGAAAGAGCCACATCATTTTCTTTGTGCTTAATAAGCCAATGAATGTGCTCCTTGGAATGTAAAGTGAATATTCTGCTTTACAAGGCAGGTGGTTGTTTGTGGTTATCTAGCTTATAAGATGACTGGGTGCAGGATTCCCAAGAATGAATGTGGTAACCTTGGCAATAAGGAGTGTTCTGAATGCTAATAGACATCCGACCATCAGTGCGCAACCGGTTTTGTCACAATATCATGCTTGGAGTCTTGGACGCGCCTTTCAGTATCACCTTTGATACTTTGATAAGATAAAAAAATTATTTGAATGTGTGGTTTTCGTCAACAGAGCAGCTCAAGGAGCTGAAGCAGGAATATATGAAGCAGGAGGGTCTGCTGCAGGAGCTGAAGAAGAACAGGACCTCCATGGACAAGAAGCTGGAGTTTGAGAGGTTGGTGGGAAGCAGATATCACTGCTCATGTCACTCCGTTGAGGAAAAGGACCTCACTTCACTGCAGCATTGTTCACCAGCACTTATCTGCTCTGCCCATGTGTGCTTTTCCACGTGGCAGTTTGCAGTGCAAGCAGAAAATCAACCAGCTGAATGGCGAGCATTTGGAGAAGCAGAGGACCCTGGAGGAGGAGGTCTTTCGGTTGAGAAAGGTGTGTGTGGGACCTGGCGAGATTGATGACCTCAGGAACCTTTCTACTGAGCACCTCTACCTTTCAAAAGAAATTAATAGACCCATAGTTTTAATTCACTGCACTTTTGTCTAATAAAATGGAAATGATGGGAAGTGAACCTTAACTCTTGTGTTTCCCAAATTTGGTGTCTGCGGTGTATGAAAGTTCTGCACTTTCTTAAAAATGATTTGTGGGGAATTTTTGCCCCCTAGTGGCTGACACTGACCACTGCGTTTTCTGATGAGTTTGATTTAAGGCGCTGATGCGTGGCTAAGTGTGATGGCCCCTTTGTGGGAATAGAGCCCTTTGATTAACATGTCTGTGTTTGAAAGGATTCCCCCCCCCCCGCTCCATTCATTTGTTTCCCTGTTTTCCACCTGGAAAATTCAATGAAATGGTTTTTCTTTTAACTTATGTTTTCACCTGAGACACCACCACCCCTTTTAATCAAGTCACTTAAATGAGATGAATCATTTCTGCCATGTGCAGAGCAAAATGCCATCTAGCGCTCCCAAGAATAATGTGACAGACATCCATAGTGAACTTGGTGTACTTCCTGCATGATGCCAGGCAGGCTCTGCTGCTTTTGACTGGCTCACGTTTACTTTCTGCAGAACCCGCCTCAAAATCGAGCCATGGAAACCGCACACAAGGCAGACAGAGACATCCCCAAGCTGACTGTGCACCACCCAGACGTCCCTGACGCTAAAGGTAATTCTCATTTATAAATTTTTCTACATTGCCTGAATTGTTCTTTGACACGCATACCGTTGGGCCGTTGATGTACTCTGTCGGTGACGTGCTGGCTCCTCCTGCGTGGGGGGCCCCCTCCTACGGACACTGATCTGAGTCTCGCTCTCCTTGTACCCCAAAGAGCTCGGCAAGCTCGCTGCCGGCGCTGATCTGCCAGGCCTGGAGGACGGCGACTTGGGAAAAGTGCAAGAGGCCCCGTTTGGTAAGCCGCCGCTCATCAGCAGCTGAGATCGTTAGTCCTGTGTCTTGGCTGGCTGATGACGACAGCGGCGGACCTGTCCTCTGCAGCACTGCGGAAGCCGGCCATCACGCGGAAGCAGGCGCAGCACGCGGGCGACGGGCCAGCGAAGGAGCAGGACCATGCTGAGCCTTTGGGGGGCGCAGTGTTACCCTTAAAACCCGAGACGAAGATGGAGGGACTGGCTGCAGGGGCCGGCAATGGACACAGAGATGTGCCCCAAGACCAAGGAGCCGTGGAGGGCGGGCATGCAGACGGCCGAGCAGGACAGCAGGGACAGCTGCCTGGTGAGAAGACGCCCAAACCAGCTTGTATGGTTTTCATCACTTCTGTTTCTGCCTTTTTACCAGGCTTTATTTCTGATAGTGTCTGCCATGGCTGATCTGGGTGTTTCACCCAGTGAATAATAAGCACTTTACTGTGCACTTAAATAGCGAGTCTCCTTGATGCCATTGTGAGGAAGCTAGTAAGCTTTTCTGTTATTCCTTCCTGATTATACTGCAGTATATGCCTGTAAAAGGCAGTGAATTGAGTTATATATGTAGGAAGAACTAACCCACTGGAAACGCATTAACAGCCATGTTAATCTAAATTGCCATGTACAGTGTCGCCCTGTTAGTTTACCAGTTATTCAGAACCAGCTGCATTGCATGACTGCAGACTGAATTACATATCCATCTAGGTAAGTTTGTTAGGAATCCTCAGCTGCGCACCAACTGAAAGGCACCAGAGTTAGCAGCACTGTCTAATGATGGGTGCAGAATAGCCTAGAACAGCACACACTGATATGAAGGGAACGGTGATTCAAAAGTAACTGGTGGAAATCCAGCCAGGCCTGAGAATAAGTGTGTGCCTACCTGCCCCCCCCCCCCCCTGCTGATTCAGCAGCCCTCTGGCTGTCTGTCTGCACCTAGCCCTCCCCTCTGGAAACGTCCCTGTCTTCCACACCCTTCTTCAGACTCAGTCTTTGTGCTTCCATCCAAAATAACTCCCAGAGCTCGTTTGTAAAGCTGCCTGTTTCCCCGTGCCTCGCTGCAGGCCGCATCCTGCCAGTAGTCACTTGTAGCTGTGCCCCTGTCTTCACCCCAGCTCCAGATAGAGTGAAGGTTGATGACAAGAGAGAGGACCTCCAGGTGGCCCCCAACCCGGCCCAAGTCCTGGCCAAGCCAATGGAGAATGAGCCAGCCAGGATCCCCCATCCCATGCAGATCCAGAGTGAGTGTGACCAGCACATGGTCCTGGTGCTGCTTGCATGCTTTATTTGATCACGCACAGGCCCACAGCGGTCGTCTTCTCCACATGCAAATGTTCTCATCTCCTGGGTGGTGTATTTAGCTTGGATGTTGATAGTATAGTAAGTGATGCACATTTTGTAATTCACAACTTAATCAGGTAGGTCTTTAGGCTTCTTTTGTGTATCCTTGATGATCAAGTGAAGCTGGAATGAACATTTGTCAAGTTCCATGAAGAGCCAGCTCTTGAAGGCTTTTCCATAGTGTGTTTGGCCCTCATTGTGAAGTTTTAGATTCTGCTCTGACTGGGCATCATGTAGAGCTGTTTGAAGGACAGAGATGCCATCAGTAGATGGACCTGCATGAGAGTCAGGATGTGCTCGGGATCCATCTTTCCACCCCTCTCTTCCCCCCCCCCACACATTAGATGAAGGCCAGCATGTTGCAGAAGGCAGACGACACCAAGCTGTGGACATGCTGTGAACTGCAGCCAGAAGCCAGAGACTTCGGTGAGAACTGTGTAATATCATTCATAGCTTAATGAATCATTTTGAGTAGTCCTTTGAATTGAAGAATAAGACATCTTTCGTATGTACATTTTGAGGAGGCTAACTAGATTATCCCGTTCTATGAAAATTGCTTTCAGAAAAACCTTTTGGCTTGTACTGGAAATATGAGATGTGCCACATTATTTGATTCAAACACTATTGTACCACCATGTACACATATTTAGATGTATTACTTTTCAAAACCTTGAAGTGTGTCATCTGTGTCATATTAACGTTTCATCCTGGTAACTCATCTTTTCCAGGACATGGAGTAAGCTCACTTACTTGGTTTCAGGAACCGGAATTCCAAGCAGTAAAGATTCTGTGCCAATTCATGGTCTCCAGTGACTCTCAGAAACCCTCCTTAGTAACAGATAATGAAGATGAAACAGATGGATCCTTTTAATTATTTTTTTATGAATGGACTTCTTCCCAAAAAGTGTTTTTCTGATAAAGGACTCTTGCTGTTGACTCCTCTGCTGTTTGAGCTGTAGCCGGTGGTGCGTGTACAATGTCAGCTGAAGGGGCAGGAGCGCTGAGAGATCCCAGGGAGGTGGGTATCATGCCACCTATAGTCCAACTAGGACTAGGTTTAGGGCAGTGTTTCCCTGTCCGGTCCTCCGGAACCCACAGACAGTCCACGTTTTTGCTCCCTCCCCTGGTAGGGAGCTGGAAGGGAGCAAAAACATGGACTGTCTGTGGGTTCCCCGAGGAAAGGACTGGGAAACACTGGGTTAGGTAAGGTGTTTTTTTTTCGTTTGTTTTGCTATGGTATTGGTCATTTTGGGTACATAAGGAAACATGGACACTTAACTGGTATAAGAAAAAATACATATGTTTCTCCGGTCTATTCTATACAGACATGTCCAGAAGACCTTGCTACTGCTGTTTTGAACCAAATTCTCATATGCTACTCTTTGTTATAGGACAAAAACCTTTTGATTGACACATTTTCACTCAAGGGCTCAAAACCCCAAATTATTTTGCTGTTAGCTTTTGGTTCAGCAGCAGATTTTGCAAACACTTTCTTGTACAGGACTTGTTAAAGGTCTCCTTTCTGAGTGTTATTTTAAGATGTAATCCAGTTGCGCTCATTGAATAGGAAGAGCACTTCGGAAATCGTGTAACAAATCAGTAGGTTTCCCCAGAGAATTCTAAAGTATTTTGGAAGGCCTGTTTGGGGGAGGTGAAGCTGGGTCTTCATAAGCATCTTCAGGCTTTGACACGCAGCCGTTACTTTCACCTTGGCCTGAGGGCCGTTGTATGGATGTCTATGGCGCTATACACCCTCAATGTCTCATGCTTGTTCATTAAAGGAAGAATCCAGTGATTGTGGGTCGTTTCTTTGCCAGGGGTGGCCAACCAGTCAGAGACCAAGAGCCACATTTTTTACTGTGTTACCGCAAAGAGCCACATCATGCACATGAACATCACCCATCCCTTCCTCTCTCACACACACACACACCTCTGCTCAGCCAGATTTATTGTAAATGTCACACACCAACATGATAATGACAGAAATTGACTCCTACAGTACTAAAACCACAGGCCAGTCATTTTCAACAATGAACATTGTCTCACACACACAAACTCTAAGTTCAACCAAGTCCACCAAAAAAAAATTTTTTTTTAACAAACTCCCCTTCATTGCACGGGCTAAAAAGCCATACAATGTTTCGAGCCAGTTGATGCGGATGCGAGCGTTTGTAAATTTTGGGAAAACTATTTGCTTTTCTGCCTGACTTTTCAAAGTGACCAACTCGTGCTTGCGAAGTTCAGTCCCTTTTGGAAATTCCTGGTTGATGTTAGCATGGAGTGAGCTGAAGTGCCGCTGAAGATTTGAAGCTTTGAAATGCGCTAATGACGCCTGACGTACAAGGCAGAATGACTTGCCATTACGCTCAACAAAATAAATAGAAACTCTCCCACTCTGTTAAAAACACCCTGTGTTCATCTTCGTATTTTCGTTTTGTTGTGCATTTTTTCCCTTCCATTTTGAGAGCGTACTTGACACAAATTGTTTACTTAAATGATCTTGCCCCTACTGGGAAACTTTGCGGTATTTTCATCTCACGCACATGCGCATTTGAAAATACTGTATTGAACTCAAGCGAAGCGAACACGCACATTAAAAAAAAAACACAAACGTCGATATGAACGTAAGAGCCGCATGAAAGCAGGCAAAGAGCTGCATGCGGCTCGCCAGCCGCGGGTTGGCTACTCCTGGTCTTCGCAGTGGAAATCGTCCAGTTATAGGTAAGACGACATCTCAAGCACTCCTGTAGACAAATCTGGCAATTTTGCATTACCCAGGAATGTTTCCCACTGGATGATTGGTGCACTTCATTTACTTTTGATGATGTAGCAGACAAATTAGAGCAATGCATCTTCACTGTTTGTACGACGAGCTAAACACCATGAATGGAAGGACTACTTATTTTTTTATGAGAATGTGATGTGCTGCTTTACAGGTGTCACCCACCATGTGTATGAAGTCCTTGATGAAGATGAAGCAAGCTGCCATTTAGAATTTAGTGATTAATTGTCATTGTTGACACACCACAGCACACAACAACGAGTCATTGTGTTCTCTGCGTTTAACCCATATGTGACAGTAGAGGACGGCTAATTCAGTGCCCAGGGAGCAGTACCTTAGTGGTGACTTGCTGGTCAGGGATTCGATCCTGAAATCTTTCAGTTACAAGTGCACATCCCTAACCATTAAGCCACCCCACTGCCCATATGCACAACTAAACCATTTAATTCATTTTCATGGGAAACAAACGATCAATCTATTTTGTATTTGGGTATATGTGAGATGGCACTTTGTTAATGTTATCTGGTCGTCTGGGAACAGCAGACTTTCCAGTAAAGGAGAGTCCAACAAGATTCATGAATGTTATACACTGCCCTTATGTTTACATGTACAGTGGTACCTCAGTTCTCGAACTCATTATAACTCGAAACAACCTGAAACAACTGATCACATGGGGATCCCACACGAGGTTAACGAGGGGGCGTGGCACACGGAAGCGGAAGATCGGGGCAGGACACTTTTTTTTTTTTAACTTTACACATGATTTGGATACATTTATTTTCTTACTTTACAAATTACTGTTTTGATAAATGTCCTTAGATGTCTTTAGTACAGTATATGCTCTTCTTGTTTTATCCTGTGCATTTTGTGTTTAAACAAAACCATATTTAGGTGTAATTTTTTGGGGCCGGGAACCAATTAATTGGTTTTCCATTATTTCTTATGGGGAAAATTCGATCAGAATTCGAACTTTTTAGGATTCGAACCTGAGTTCTGAACGGATTAAGTTTGAGTTCTGAGGTACCACTGTAGTATAATCTGACACCAAACACTAGTTTGTGCTCCCTGTGATTAACTGATAATTTCCAGCACAATATTGTCAGCTGATGACAGTGTCATATGTTTTCCAGGTGGCTGTCCTGTTACAGCACGAAAGATTTATGGGAAATTATAGACCAGGAGCTAGAAGATGACGTGGGGCTTCTGTTAAAGATAAATATCAAGATGTATAATGTGGTAAAATATAAAGGGGAGTAATTTGGGCTGCAGCTGCCTTAATGAGATTTCTCGGTCAATATTTCATGGTGACTCCCAAGTGACTTTTTGAAAACCAAATACCAGCTGTCTATTTAAAGTATTTAAATTTTTTACCATTTAATGTAGTACAATTTGCTTTCTGTACATGAGATATTGTCTGGTGAGCAATCAAATATATCTAAAGCCAATGCTGCATCTGATTCCCCTCTGAAGGGCCGCAGTCAATAGGGATGCCCATAGATGTTCAAGCTGTTTGCGTCTGGTGCTTCAGGCAAAGCTGTAGACGAGCAGCTTTGTAGTACAATTAAGATATGCATCTTCTTGAAAAAAATAAGCATCAGCACTTTTCATGTTTTTCCGCTTTATACTGACAGTGTTCTGACTGCTCAGAGACAGTAAGGTGGGGAATGTTAGAGTTTACGCCCATATGTGCACAGTTCATCTTCTCACCCTCTCTTGATCTTACACGATGGTTGGTCCCATTTCAAAATTTGCTTCAGTCTGTAACTGACTTTATGGCCAGTCACCATGGTGTATAAAGTTCATGGTATACATAATGATGATTTCAAGCCAGGTGTAAGTTTTAACTAGTGTTGGAGATTATTACAGTATAGCTACTATTTCATATTCAGAGTGGTACATTATATAAATTATGCGAAACGCTTGACATCTACTGGAAATTCTTCTATGATACTATTAGAATTGTATACTTCAGCTTTAGCTAGGGTCAGCACTCCTGAGTATAATGGTCTGGGATTGCAAAGGCTGTTTGTAACAAGTTGATCTGAGAATAACAATACCTTGTGTTTAATTTGCTTACTTCGAGTGCAGAAAGATTACATTCGGCACCGATTTGCAAGGACAAACCTGTAGGTGAATTATTCAAAGTAGGTTTGAAACGATCGGGTCTTCCGGTTTGAACCGGAAGTTTGGTAGTGATGGCTGTTTTTTAATTATCTGGTAGAGAAAATTAGTAACTATTCAGCATTATGCCGTTAACTGCGTCCGCTGAATCTTAGGGGCGTCCGAGCCATTCTGTGACATATTGAATGCCGGATTTCAAAAATATAATGTGAACGTTAATAACCAATCGTCATTACTCAATTGCGCAATAATTTCCCATGCAAAACACACAAATGCAAGCCAAATTTGCTCAGTGCGCATATGGTCTGGTTTCACACCAGTCCCACGCTATCAAGGGATTTGAAATATCATAAACCAAGATCCGGAACGCTCTCTTCTACTGCACACTTAAGACCCTGTTTTCCTCGTTAAAGCGTTACACGAATTATATACCGATTTTTACTTTTACACTATTGTGGATGTTTTATTTAAATTTTAACTGTTAAATTGGACTTGGGTTCCGTTAAATTGATTTTACACGAGGGTAACCGTTTTTGGATTCCTGAACAAAAATAATGAATAGAACCACGTTTCATGAATCATATGTGTCGGGGTAAACTTTAAAAATCATGAAAATAGATGTCAAATTTAAAAATGTATCTCGGTTCTGCAGCACTGATACTACCGTCTGGAGCTTTCATAACACATCGCCATGGCGACCACTGTTTCCCCCATTCATTTCCATTGTGCATTGACTGTACTGGTGAAAACCTCCTTTATGCGGAACATTACCTGGATCCTTGTCATTAGCTTGTTTTTAATACAAGACAATATAATGAAGCACTGCCCGATGAACATTTTTTGTACAAAAAGACAATGCATGTAGGAGTTTGCACATTATGCGTACACTTGAATATATTACCATATACGTATCTAGCATGCGAATGCTATGTTTTACGTTGCTTGCTTGTAGGTGGCCGTGGTACCTACGGACAATCCTACAATTCTGTTATGCTCCACTATATAAATCAATGAAAGGCTGATGTGAAGAATAACACTCATAGAAACGTGTCGTGCCTTGACATCCAAGCAGACCAACCCACTTTCGATTTTCGCATTTAAAGAATTTAAATTTGTTCTAATCAATGACATTAAGAGCAACACAACGCCCCACCGAGCTACGTCACATGCTCCATGTTGTTTTGTTTGTATAGGCAGGGGGCGCGCGGCAGGGGTCCGCGTGCGCGCGCGTGAGTGCGCGTTCCCTCTTCATCCGGGTCTCTGCCGTCCACAGGCAGTAAGGAGGCGGGAAATGGCGTCCGGAGGTGCCGCGGAGAGCTGGGTGCACACTCCTCGAATATAACCCACCAGAGACGCTAAGAGACGGCGGCCGACTCCGCTGTGGTCCTAGGCGCTCAGGCAAGCACAGCCGCCCCGGCAGGAAAACATCGCTTCTTTCGGCAAGTACGTCCGGAGGTAGATTAGCGCCGCTCTCGGTGTGAGGGAATGCGGCTGTCGTAGAAATAAATATTTACCAGCGTAACGGCGCTTGCGGTGGGTTGGAAATCTGCTAGTGCGCGCTGCGTTTGTCTCAAATGTCGGCATAGTTCGGAGTGACTCCGGGACTCCCGACACATGCCGTCTGAATCAGGGAAAAGCTCTTGGCAGTGTTTTTTAATGTGTATACACACAGACATTAGTGTCAATCGTGTTTGCCACTAGCTCGTGGTCTAGATCAATCGGTCCTCCACTGGTCATAATACCGCTCCCGTTTGAACAGACATGTAATTAATTAAAATGTGATGCGCCGTTAAAAATACTTGGTCCCCCGAATTAGTTAATAGACGCTGGTCGGCTGGGTAGTAATGTGATTGGGAACTTCTGTTCTGCCGTTTTCTGAGAATCTGAAAACTTGACTGTCGGCTGGCTGTGATCGCCAGTGTCAGCTGTGTGAGTCCGAAACCTCGATGTGAGCTCTTGCCTTAACCCCAAGGACCACCATGAGTAGGTAAAAACACAGCCTTCTTAGGCCGTGGCCTTGTTTTCCACCTCCCGCCCCGGGCTGGAGTACAGTCACGCCGGATTCCCCTACCCCCCCCCTCCCCGCCCCTTTCACCTCTCGGGCTTGTAGCTAAATCTGCGGAAGCAGGCTAAGGCTACCGCACCGACTCAAGGGGATTACAGCGCCCTTAGGGCCGGGATGTGTGTCCAGACGGGGGTGTGGGCGCTCTCACGCCGGGAGATCGCCAAGCTGTGTGCCTTACAGTGAAGTCTAATTTATCCCCGCGCTTGATATTTGTCACCGCGATCCGTCGTCCTGCGCGAAATGCTTCGTGGGGTTCCAGCCTTCGTGCCGTTTTATTATACAGGGGGCGTTGCTCTTTGTCTCAGCTTGCTCGCACTTCCACTGAAATCACCATATAAAGGAGTGTTTATCTTGGAAGTCTTATTTTTCCTGAAACTTTGCCGATTATATCCCTGTGATTTTGTGTGCAGCGCATAAATGTGACAGCTGTCGGCCAGCTTGTACCTATCCGCACCGGTACCACGCAGACAGCTATGCGGGGGCAGCGTGGCCGCTCCGTAAATAATCGTAACAGCAGTTTAGGTCACGATGCATGATTTAAAACTTCAAGATACACAGCGGCCTCTTCGCGGGCAAGCTGCTGTCAGATAGTTAGGGATCAGTTTTATTAAGCTAGACCTTTGTCGGCACAGATGGGGAGAAAAGTCACCTTTACTGACGCTTTTGTTAAAAACTTCGTGGTGGAGAGATGTCTATTTTACCCACTTCAGTCGTAGAATTTTAACTGACCAAAAAACTTAGTGTTATAATGTTATGCTGGATATTGAGTGATGAGTCTTAATTCGGCATGAGAACTTTGGGATTTTTAAGTTCTTCAATTTTTCAAAGGTCGATCTAGAGTACCCCTTTGGTAAAAATGGACAGATCAATGTTTTCTGAACTTTTGGCCACACCAGTGTTGCAATAGCAGAATCTGGTGAGAGCCTGCCTTTCCCTGTGGTGAATTGATGAAATCTACAAGAACTATTTAAAAACTGAATACATGTGTTCCCGAGGCTTAGGTGAAATGTGAGTGTTAGGATGTAATTTACAGTGTGTTTTTAGTTAAAAAAAAAAATAAAAAAATGAAATACTGCAGTTTATAGCTTGGTTCTTTGGCAGTCTGTTCTAAATGATGATTACCTGTATTGCCACCAATTTGGTATGGCTCTCCTGAAATGAAATTATTCTCCAAAATTGCATTTAAGAATGCCAGTTTGCATGTACCTTGCAAACATTATTTTATAGTTGTCCTTTTATTACTTCTCTGCAGCATATAGCTCTTATTTAAGGTTAACCTCCTTTTGATGCAGTTTGAATATTTGTGATTTTAAATCTTAAATGTCACCTCAGCCAACACTATTTTGTTATTTCCCTCGCAGTGCAGTGACTCCTCTCTGACAGGTGGGTGTCACTCTGTTAGCAGGTAGATGAGCTAGTTCTCCTTGGAAATGATAAAGGTGTGTCTCCTTCCGTTCTGGGGAAAGCTGGGATTTGTTAATCTATTGGATTTGCAATGAATTTGCAGTATGATTCTATTTTAAGTTTTACTTTGCTCCTGGGCTGCCTGTACCTTTAAGTTGTGTGTATCAGCCTAAAAATTAATAGGCGTTACTTTTAGTTAATGTAGTAATAACAATTCAAAAACCCTTGTGTAACATTTAATTTTATTTCAGTTCACAACAATGGATATGAGATTTCACTCATGACTCTTGTGGTTATATTTTGTCCATAATTTATTTATATGTGTGCAATATACATTACACCCCAAGACTTGTATAAGGTCGTCGGGTTTAGTGCATTATCCTCGTCACACTGGTTAATAATAAAGTGATTCTCTGCAGTTTGGTGGGTAGTTGTCAGAATTCAACTGTTGGGATCTTGTGCAGGAACTGTCACCTTGCTTGAATTTAATAGCATTTGAGTAATAAAGTATCTATAATAATCCAAACTTTAAGGAAAGAACCTAATTTTATGCCAGGTTTTTAGGGATATAATTTTATGCATACATATTTTCTGTTAAAATGAAAATTTAATTCCGCTATATGAATGAATCCATATGGCTGTAAGATTTTTGGGTACATTTCTCCATTATCTGGTCAGCCTACAAGTGATTTCAGGATACTGTTGAATCTCTGCTTTAACTGTAATTAGTCGGCAGGGGAAAGGCCTACGGGAAAGTATTTCTACTCTTTGTCCACCAAATACCATATAAGAGGAGTATGTCTGAGGGGGGAATGAGAGAGGGGGGAGAAAGCGTGCTCGAGTGTGACTGAGGGAGAGAGAGTCCTCTTTCTACTGTGCATATGCAACAGCTGGTTGTAATTTAAGAAAAACAGATCTGGTGGTGTAACTGGAGGAAGAGAGAACCATCTGAGGTCTCTTCTGTGAACTTAAGTGTGTTTTTTTTTTTGTTTCATCACAATAACGAGTTGGGAGTTTGAGGAGAGCTAGGCATGGTTGTGCGTGGCACTGTATGTTGGGAGCTGTGTATGAGTCATACCTCTTGTCGGTAAAAATAGACAGGGGAAGAGACTCGGAAGGCAACAAAGCTGCTGCCTGCTTCTGTGCTTGGTTCCCCTCCCTGTTATCCATGATTGCCTTGTCCTGCAGCCTAATTTGGAGCATGCGGTATTTTGAGGGTGGGCTACCATTGCCTCGCTTGGCCAGAGTTACTGTAAACTGCTTTCCTGTTCCCTCATGGCTGTTCAGTTTGGCCAAATTTGTGTTGATGCGTGTTTGAGATGATAATGGATAAACCATGTGGGTTGTGATTAACAGTGGAGGTGGTGATAGAATGTGTATGTTGTGTATTAATTCTGCAAATGCAATTTGAAATACTTACTCAATTTGCAGCGTATGGGCTGAGAATCTGTGATGCCCGATTTAGGCTTTGTCATACCCAGGTGATTATTCCTGTTTCCCTGCTTGTCTTTGGAATAGATTATCTGTCTGAATCCTGGCGTGTTGGTCACCTTGTCCTCAGTTCAGGAAGCTGCGTGTTTTTTTGTTTTTATTTTCCCCCCCACTCAGACTCACACCACTGTCCCTTAGGTCTAAGCCAGTCCAGCATGCAATATTCTCAGGCTTCTCCCAACATGATAGCGGCATGGAGATATTTTCGTTTGGGATTTTGGCATTGCTTTGGATTATTGTTTGCGTGTAGCCTATCTCTCTGTATTTGTGATGCATGTTAATTGGGGACAGTGTTCAGCAGGTGTGTTGTCTGCATACATTTGTAAATGTGTGGTAAACTTAAACCATATCTTTAGATTCAAGACTGTACTTTTAAAGTACAGTGGCAAGGTCAACAAAAGATTCTGCTGAATGCGTTCTGGAATATGTGGCAAATTTCTTCCTCAAACTTTGTAAGAAAAATGTCCTTAAGTTACTCTGGGATGATAGATCTCTGTGGTATGTGTGTCTGTAGCCATACAGACTTGCAGTGCTAGTGACGCTCGCAAAGCAGTAAACACTGAGGTTGTAGCAGCTGACTGGTTGTGAATACTGATGTGTACTTTGGGGTTTGCCCAAAGTTTGCCCCCCCCCATTGTACAGTCAAATTCAACAAGCCATGTCACTCTCCCAAGTTTACAACTAATGCATTTTCCTTTGTTAATAGGCATGTTTGGCAGATGGGAATTGATGAAGGGCCAGTCTCAGCTGTTTATGTAGTGGAGAGAATTATAGTGTATGGTTGGCTTTAACATATCTGTTGGCTGGAGTAATTGAATCTGCATCTCTAAAATCCAGTCACATTTATCAGCCAGAGGATAAGCTTTGTGTTACATGCTTTTGCGTGCATTAACTTGCAATTTCATTCACTTGCACTCAGGGGCGCTGGAGGGGCATGGATACCCTGGCAGATTTAGGGGGCCCTACGCTTGACAGGGGCCCTTGAAAATGTGAAATTTATACACAATTTATACAAAATTGTGTGTGTGGGGGGGGCAAGGTGAAGTTTTATCAGTGGGCCCAGATTTTCTAGGTTTGTCCCTGCTTGCTCCCGTAGGGCAGTGTATGGTTTAAGGTGTTGGACTATCAAAAAGCTATGAGGTTCGGTCCTGTAAAGGGTGCTGGTGTTTTTCTGTAAATGTATAGCTTTATACGTGGATAAAACCACTAGCTGTACACAATAAATAAATGTTAAAGTACAGCTTTCTGAGCCGGGAGTATTTTCCAACACCACCAAATCGGTGGGTCCTGCAATGGCCCTCTAAAGCTGTAGCTTTCGGAATTCGTTTTATTGTCTGTCCCCCTGTATCCCACCAGTTCTTTGGCTTCAGTGAAGGGTGCCGGTTCAGGCTCTCGGCCGACTGAGTTGATGCTCTGCTGTATGGGCCTGTCTCGTTTCTCCACATCTGTTAGCCATTTGAGCAGACAGCCATCCCCAACACTGGAATGAGAAAACAAGCTAACTAGTGCAGGCTCAGTCCTTGTATGACTCGCAGCCTGACCTATAGCTTTGCAACATTCTCTGTGCTATAGTGTGTGAGACAGACTATTCATGAACAGAACTTGCTAGAACTAGCTTAGTGTTAGTTACCAGCTTCTGAAGTCCCTATATTCTGGATAAATATCCTAAAAGAGGTTTTTGCTGAGGTTGAGCCAGCAGTGTGCACACAGGTGATGGAGATGTTTTCAGGCTAGTAACCATATCAGGTAGAACACCAGCATGGAATGGGCTTAACTTTCCATCAGATTTCCCTGTAATAGAAATCTGCATCAGTGCATTTATGTATGTGATGTAAAGCAGAGCTTTTCAATCTTACCTGAATTGGGGACCCACGTGTGAAAAAAGACCATCACTGTGAGACGATTTTTTATTTTTTGATGAACACAGATATGCTAGAAGTATGCATGGTTATAGTAAATGCCTTTTATCAAAATATGCTATTAAAGCCTGCTGGACTTGAATAAGGGTTTGTTTGGTACAACTGGACCAGTTGACGTTTCGTGTGAGGTTGCAAATGTGAAACAGATGAGCGCCTCTTTAAAAGATGCATGAGCTGGGTGAGAGGACCGCGTGCTGAGTGCGTACGGAGAGCTGCTGTGGTGCTCACTGGCTGCTGTCCTGACAGGTCCTGCGTGTGTCTCTGTGCTCCCAGCCAGTGCTGTTGCGTAAGCCACAGTGGTGGGGGCGGGGCGTGTCCTGTGGCTGCTTTTAGGAATTTTTTTCCTTTAAAAAAAAATAAAATAAAATAAAATTGGCAGAAAGTGATATATGGGAGAACCTTTTCTATTGCAGAAACATTTGCAACAGAAATGGCAACAACGATTCAGGAAAAATGCTTCAGAGGGGGTTTTCAGCCATGGCACAACATTACTGTCACCTTCCTGGAAAGTGTTCATTTAATTAAAACGGTTAATCAGTCATGCACAGTGATGTACACCACACATTCCTATGTGGATTTTTAAAGTTGGAGACTAGTTCTTTGAAGCCTAAATTGCTTACACCACTGGATTTTCTGTGTTGTTTTTGCTGAAGCCTGCATGCTTCATCTTTATTTTTCCAGTTATCTATTTTAAATAGACCTGTCAGTACTTGCTTTTTCAACTTTTGTACTTTTTTTTTCCTTATGCAAGATATCCGTGTGAAGATTTGGGGGAATTAGCCGCCGTCGTTGCTTTTGTGAACGTACCGTTATCTGTACAAATTCTCTTGCTTTCCTTACCTGTTCTGCTTACACCTTGAGCTTTGATCTGTCTCCTCATTCTTCTCCCTCCGACAGTCTTACATGTGACGGTCAATACAATGAGGCTGAGAATGCGTAAGGCTTCTCAGCAGCCAAGCCCTGTACATACGCCCCGTCCATCCCGGACCAAGCGGAGACATTCGGAAGTGGACGTGTGCACACCGGCAGGTGGGGGGGCGGTGCAGAAGAGTGATGCAGGGCTCCTTTCCACCATAAAGAAATTCATTCGAGGAAACACTGTCAAGGTACCCATACCCGTAATGGCAGCAGCTATGCTTCCTAAGCATAGCTAGAATTTCTGGAAATAAGTCACGTCCAAGTCTTCCAATGTTCCAAAACTGTGAACCAGACCCGCGTTTCAGAACCGGGTTTCGTGTTCTGTCGGGCATGCAGCTGCATGTCTGGGAACTGTAGCCAGTTTCTAAGAATAGCTGTGGTTCTAGAATAGCCGTGTAGTGACGGAGTGCACGATTAGATAGAACCAGTGTGCAGTAACGTGTAAGACTGGGGTCTTGGAGAGTAGCGAACTTAATGGTTAAGGAACTGCATTTGTGACTGAAAGATTCCAGTTAAGTTAGACCCAGTCTTGATAATGTACCCTTGACCAAAAATACATGACCTGAATACCCAGCTGTACAAATGGGCAGAGCCAGAGGCTTGTGTGTATGCCCGTGCAAGAACCGCTTCATGCCCGTGCAAGAACCGCTTCATTGCATATAGATTTATTCTGCCTTAGGTTCTTTCTTTCAGTCATACATAATCCTTCTGTGCCCACTAAAATATGCTAATTTTCTTAATTTACACGTGTAGGGCCAAATTATATTCACTATAGCAATTCATTTTCCATCACACTGTATGCTATGAGAGTAACTGTAGGTCACTTTTCTCTGGGTGTTTGCCCTGGGTGGGCCTTGGTAACATACTGTTCTTTGAAGGTATTGATGCTTTTAAAATGATGCTCCTTTTCAGTGTATAGCCTCACATGAGAATTATAGCCCTGGAAAAAATGACCTAATGCTGCCTGAGAGTGCTCCTACACATTGGGAGCCATCAGAGCACTAACTGCAGGCCCTGCACTGTCCCTCGAGGTGGAGCTGGAGAACCCAGCCAAGAGGAGCTGCATCGACCGCAGCCTGGATGCCGGACTGATCTCGTCCACGCCCCAGATGCCGGACCCCCTGAGCAGAGGTGCCCCCAGGGTCCGCCGTAGAGGTCCTGTGAATGGAGGTGAGCTTGCGTCCGTGGCATAGTTCAGGTGTGTAACTGTACTTATACAAGTAAATACAGACCAGTCTCATGAGCACAAATAGCTTTATCTGTTCAATATATGCATGTGTAAGTTCACAGACTTTCACATTTCTCTAAGAGGAGCATCTCTTATGATGGTGGAGATGCATGTGAAACTGAAATATTGTGGAAGTTGTTTAAGGACTAACGAATAATATGAATGTTCTGTTTTATGTAATATTAGTAAGGACTCGTTTTCATACTCTGACCATCAGATGCCATCAACCATGGCACAGGAAAGCCGATGAAGCCCAACGGCCGGCTGCAGGAGTCTGTGGAGGCTGTCAGCAGCCCTCCTCGAACCACTCTGCTGGGAACCATCTTCTCCCCGGTCTTCAACTTCTTCTCTCCTGCCAATAAAAATGGTAAAGTTTGCCCTGTAGGTCCTTGGGTTGTACAGACGGTGCGTCGTCCTTACAGTGTAGTCTGGAAGTTTCTAGGAGCTCTCGGCTTCTGCGGTCACCCGGACTAATCGGCAGGCTTCCGCAGGCCCAGGATCACGCCACGCAGGCGCTAACGGATGTGCAGGCGTAGTTAAGCTTGGGTGGATTTGGAATGGAAGGAGCTTCTGTCCTGTTTGCTGGAGAAATTCCTGACCTGCTCATGTCCTTCACGCTTGGTGCAAGACAGGATCCCTGTAAAAGTCATGCTCACTTCCCGGCTGGCAGAATTGCAGTGGTGAGATAAATGTGACCCCCTCCTTCAGGAACCTCCGGCTCAGACTCCCCCGGCCAGGCCGTGGAGGCCGAGGAGATTGTGAAGCAGCTGGACATGGAGCAGGGAGAAGAGACCCCCACTAGCACAGCTACGTCCAGGGAGATCTCGGGCGTCTCCCTCTACCCCGCCAGCCAGCCGCTGCCCCTAGCCCTGCGACCCCCTCCTGATGGCGCTGTTGAGGAAGGGGAGATTGTAACTGGCTCCGACCTGCCGCCCCTTACTGGTATGTCCAGATGATGCAAGAGTGAAATCCAGGCAGGCACCTGCCAGTCTATCTTTGTGTGAGTGGCTAGTGTTTGTGGCGACGTTCATTGGTTTTAATTCTTCTTCGTATTATAATCAGGCCAAACTCAGGGGTATATTGACTTCTGGAAATAATAGTTTTTCGGTAACACTGCAGGAGCCATGAAAAAATTTCAGTTGTGGCCACCTTGGCTTTGGGTTTCTGATATTTCATCATCTTCCCTCCATCTTGTTTCCAGCCCCTGGGTCCGCCACAGACAGTGGCTACTCTGAAATCCCACCCCCTGTCCCATCCGAGGGGACATACGAGGAGGACTGGGAGGTCTTTGACCCGTGAGTGCAGCTCCCTTGCGGTCTAGGATGCATCCTCAAAGCGAGCAGCTGTAACGTAGCTGTGTGCAGGGTGGTCTTCCTCAGTGCCTCCCTCTGCTGACTCCTGCTCAGCCCTGCTCTGATTTGCACCCTTCAGGTATTTCTTCATCAAACACGTCCCCCCCCTTACGGAGGAGCAGCTCACACGCAAGCCGGCACTCCCTTTGAAGACCCGCAGCACACCGGAATTCTCCCTCGTCCTCGACCTGGTCAGTTTTGACAAAAAAATGTATAAATTGTTCATCCTTTTTCACTTTGGTCAGGGTTTCCTGCCGGCCGCTTGTCTTCAGTCGGCATTGATGCAAATATCAAACACATTATTTCAAACACCCACTGTCTGAATCGTAGATGGTTCAGTTCTTTTTTTCAGTCAGTAATCAACGATGGTGATTACTTCCCAAATGAAGACAAAGGCACTTTCAGCAGCTGTCTTGGTGCGTGCTTGGATGCCCCCGGGACTCTGTCTAACAAACTGTCATTTTGCTGTGGTGGCAGCATCATTCTGATTTGGCTGCTCAGATGATCAGCACTGATAATGAGTGAGCAGCCGTGGTTAGGATGATGCTGAAGGAAGAGCTGCTTTGTAAAGAGGCAGTAACGCCAGACTGATTGCTGATTTCAATAAAATACAAGAGCTTCTTCTGCTTTTTCTTAGTCGATGGAAATATTGATTCATCTACTTTAAACTTTCCGTGCATGTGCCTGCGTGTGTACACACAGTGGACTCTATTAGTTATGCATACATAGTAGCAGTTATGGTTCTGGGAGACAAAAACATTATTTCAAGTTTTGGCTAGTTGTGCCTATCTGCACGCGACATGTGCTGAGCTGTTTATTGAATCGCTTTATGTAAACACTACATGCTATAGTATGTGAAAATGCCAAGCGGGTGTCTGACTGATGCTGGAGCCGCTACGTCTGTCACCCACATTCACACCACGTTTCAAATTGCTTAGATCTGGTTTCTTAGCTGAAACTGAACCTCCTGACCCTGTCTGTTGTATGAATTCAGTTGCAGCTGCATGTTTTGCCGTTTGTAGAAATGAGTGAGGTGCGAGTGTTGCAGAAGTGGCACCCTCAGTTTAGTGAAAGCTTGATTTAATTAGGTTAATGCAGCTGTGCCCGTCACATTCAGTCTGCCTGTTATGTTCAGCTGCAGAATCGCACTAATTTTGATCGTATTTCTTTTTTTTTTCTTTTTTTTTGAGATGACAGAATAGTAATCTTCACTTTGCCTGCAATTTGTCTGTCACCTTGGGGGAAAAGTGTAGCAATGTTGTAAGTGCTATATGATTTGATGCAAGTGACAAAGACATTTTCGTCATCCATCTTCTTGCTTAAACAGTGTGGATGTTTGTGTTCATGATTGTAATGAGTAAACATTGCTGCATAGTAAAAATGATGTGACCATTAAGTAGCACTGTATGGTAGTGGATAGAATAGTATGAATGAGTTCTCTCCTTTACCAGGATGAAACGTTGGTGCACTGCAGCTTGAATGAGCTGGAAGACTCGGCACTTACCTTTCCAGTGCTCTTTCAAGACGTCATATACCAGGTACCTGCGGCCCTGTTATTTACCAGCACTGGACGCACAGGCTGGCCTTTGACTTGCTGCGGTTCTTGTTTGGGTTTGCTTGGAAATGTTCGATATGATGTGATGCAGCATTAAGGTGTCCGGGTGTATTTCAGTGCACGTTTCAGTCTGTAGAGAAACAGTTGTAAACCAGAGTAGCCCAAGACCAGCAAAGGCACAGCAAGACCTGACTTGTCCCTCCTTGTGTGCAGGTGTATGTGCGGTTAAGGCCGTTCTTCAGAGAATTTCTTGAGCGTATGTCTCAGATCTATGAGGTAACCCCCTGCTGCAACACTGCAGCTTTTATGATGTCAGGCTTTTCTTTTCTGTTAATGCTTTTCTGTGCGTGTGTGTCTGTGTGTGCGCTCCTGTCTGTGTGTGCGCTCCTGTCTGTGTGTGCGCTCCTGTCTGTGTGTGCGCTCCTGTCTGTGTGTGCGCTCCTGTCTGTGTGTGCGCGCTTCATAATTCTGAATTGTGCTCGCCTCCTTCCAAAGATCATTCTCTTCACTGCCTCGAAGAAGGTGTATGCTGATAAGCTTCTCAACATCCTGGATCCCAAGAAACAGTTAGTCAGGTCAGTAGAAGCACTATCGTGACCTTCATAGGGCTGCAGGCTCCTGTTAGTTGAATATGGGTCTGCATTTTATTTCTCGAGGTGGATGCTCGTTAATGCCCTCTGCACTCTTTCCCAGATGGTTAATTCAAATGGTCATGCTCCCCATATGTATCCAAATTCCCTTAAGTATGTATCTTTCTCTTTTGATTGTAATATCTAGGCACCGGTTATTTCGTGAGCATTGCGTCTGTGTGCAAGGGAATTACATAAAGGACCTGAACATTCTTGGGAGGGACCTGTCAAAGACCATAATAATCGACAATTCACCTCAGGCCTTTGCTTATCAGGTAGGTTGATCTGGCTGAGACGCGTTCCGCACTTCCTGAATCGGCTACATTTATCTGCACTCTCCCTCTTGTTAAGAATGAAGTGAATGACGTAGCGCTCCATGTCATCTGTCTGTCCTGTCAGCTTTCCAACGGGATTCCGATAGAGAGCTGGTTCATGGATAAGAATGACAATGAGCTCCTGAAACTGGTTCCGTTCTTGGAAAAGCTAGTTGAACTGGTATGTCTTTTTTTTTTTTTTGCACTGATATTCAGTGGTCGTCAAATCATTGAATTAGATGAAATGTGTCCTTCTGTGTCTGTCTATAATCTCTCACACACACACACACACACACACACACACACACACCATGTTTGTATTCATATCTTTGTAGCGACCGTCCTTTCATTTCTGTGGGGGAAAAACTCTAATCCCAACACTGACAGCCTTAACCCCTACCCAGCCCTAACCTTAACCACAAGTAACCAAACATAATACAAGACTTCTGGCATTTTTCGCAGACTGAACTCAGTTTCCTTTTGTGGGAACTGAAAATGTGGTCCCCACAATGTCAAAATAACAGGTTTTTATCACATTGTGGGGACATTTGGTCCCCATGGCGTAATGTGTACACAGACTCATACACACACATACATACATACAATTAACCCCACAGTAAAGTACAGCATCGTGACTTGCATGGCATCTCACATGCACCTGGTGTTGAGTGCTGTGTCTCTACCCCACAGAACGAAGACGTGCGTCCACACATCCGCGAGCGCTTTCGTCTGCACGACCTCCTGCCCCCCGACTGAGCCCAGGGCACTGGGCTGCCGTCAAGGACCAGCATAGGAACAGCTGTGGAAACTAATATTTCAGATCAAACTCATGGCCATGTCAAAACTCTCCGGATTACAAGACTGCCATCCCAACTTTTCTTTTCCCTCTCAGATCCCAACATTTCTTTAAAAGGCAAAAACATTTTTGAAACAACCTCCCAATTATAGAATTCTTTTATACAGATAAATGTATAAATATATGTATAAATGTCCTGGCAGCTGTAGGCGAGCCTAAGCGCGACCCTGCGGTTCGACCGGCTCTCCCCCCCCCCCCTCCCCAGAGCGCTTTCTTACTTCCCTGAGCAGCCACAGCGTCACACACAAGTGTGATGTTGGTGCCGGAGGCGTCTGCCCACGAGAAATATGCTGCGCTGCGCAGAAGGGGCCTGCTTTCCGTACGATTGGTGCTTCGAGTGGAATCACTGACATTTATTGGCTGCAGAGTCATTTCACCACAAACGGCCAGTTAAAACACGTGTGTGCGTGTGTGTGTGTGTGTGTCTGTATACACATCTTTCCCTATTCAGGTTTCTGAAGCTCCCTCCTGTTAACGTAGCTGACGAGTCACCATGCATTCCTTTTTAGTTTTAAATGCTTTGTTTTATTAGACTTTGGCAATAGATTTAGGGTTTTCCCTCCTCGACGCGGTTGTCTTGCATTTGTCAGCCTGCAAGAGGTTTTTTTTAATTGGAGGGGAGGCAAACTGAGAGTCTAATCAAAAATGGAATTTATGTAGTTTCTGTATTAAGATATTGCGTTATTGTCAATGTATTCTGTAAAACACAGTATGGAAGAAATCATAATTTTGTAGGAAAGGAAAATATCATCCCTTATAGGTGAGAATTACTGGCTTTCTAAACCACAGTGATGGATTTAATTTGGCAAGTCTGAACTTGCTGGCCTGATATGTTCAAAGTTTCAGTCTGTGTGTGAGCAGTCCTGCTGGGGTCCCCTGTGAAGCTCTCCCCCGCCAGGCAGATGGCTCACTTTACACGCTGCGGGCCACATGGTCACCTGCAGGGGAGCTAGTTTGGATTGCATGTGCGTGCGTGTGGAAGGCGGGGGGGGGGAAGGGGTATTAAACTTTGTATTAAGCTTAAGCCATTTTTGGCAAAACTGTTCCAAGTTTCAATGGCATTTACTAATAATAAGTGTGCTAACCAGCACGGACCTCATTAAAGGTGGACGGGGTGATGATGGGATGTATGAGTGACTCATGGAGTATGCTGTCATATGCTAGTCTGACTTACAGTATTTCTAATTTACCTCCTTGGATTCTAAGACAATATTGTCAGATCCCAAAAGGAGCTGAAATGTAGCCCATAAAAGCATCTTTCACTACCCCCCAGAAACAAACCTCTTCATTTATGTTACAGAAGGGTTTGCTTTGCTTTGCTCACCAGCAGCAGCATGCTATTGGCCAGCATCAGGGTGGTTTAAACCTTCCTGTACTGCATCTTAAAAATCTAAAACTTGAGTACAGGATATCTTTTATGCGCCGGTCACTTGTTGAGGCGAGATGACCACCTGATTCAGTCTCATTCTCTGGTGTAATATTCAGTATTTATCCTCTTGATGACAGGGTCATTTCAAAAACAAAAGGTGGTGATACGTAGATGTTGCGTCAGATTGTGTTATTCTGTTGACGGGGCCTAGACTGTTGTAATATGGCTTTTGCTCTCCTTTCTGGTGCACCTTATCCCCGTGTAGCGGAAAGGTTTCTGACAGCTGAAAGCTTCTTGCCCCTCCTCCTCTTTCCCCAGTTTGGAGTGGCGTTCCAAGCCCCTGTGTACCACCCACCCACAACATACTTTCCACTCTGCTTATGAGGAGACAATCGAGAGTCCGTAAGGCTATTCTGAAGCACTGTAAATGTGTATGGGAAGGGGGCCAGCAAGCTGGTCCTGGGGCTTTGCCCGCCACCCTGACTTCCGCTTCCTGCCTTAGTGGGTGGGTAATCTTCGGGTTCTTGAAGGCTGTCTGTGTAATTTCACCTGTAAGATTTGGGATATCATGCATTTCCCTTTTGTACTGGGCACGCTGGAAATGAACCTGGACACCAGCCTTTGTAAGACTTGTACAGTCAATCTTAAATCTGGGCAGGTGTGACCCTGGTTTGGATGATGTCATTTAAAGGCAATATATTACTTCAGACTGGAGATTGTAATATGATCCAACGATGAAGAAATCTATAATAAATATGGGGGGGGGGGGTCAGGGGACAAAACTCTCCATGCATCTTTAAGTCTGTGGGGGTTAGCGGGTCCTACAGAATACCAGCAGTGTTTCTTCTGAAGGTTTGTTTGAGTGTCTTGTAATATGTTTGACTTGTTGCCAAGGGTACAGACTTTCTTTAGAGACGTGTGCTTTTTGAGGTCCCCTGCATACCCTGATTTATGTTACACACATGGAATATGCAAGCTCCGTGACCTCCCTGTGAAAATGAGCTACCAGCGCTGTCCCTGCGGGGAGCGGTGGCTGGGGGGGGGGGGCTCCCTTGCTTCATTGGGTCTTGGCACTTTTCTTATGAAGAGCTAGCTCATTTTATATGATTGTTAGAGAGTAGAGCAGAGATTTTATGGTGAAAGATTGTGGGATGGGGGGGGGGGGGGGGGGGTTTCAGAAGTACAACCAGAATTTTTTTTTCATCTGTAGTACCCATTTTATTGTACAGAGGTACAAAATAAATGCAGCTTCATTTTTAAAAATCCTTAAAGTAAGGAAGATCTTTTTAAAATACATTTAATTTTTGTATTTTTGATTTTTAAGAGGCATGTTTTGTCTACTTTTTAAGTGTATTAATGAAGATTTTAACTTTACATCAGGTTGACTTTCTTTCGTATGTATGTATGTCTTTAGCACACTGTCAACAAGCCGTTTTAAGGAAAAAAAAAAAAAAAACCTAGCATGTAGAAAACGCCTGTTTTTGTGGGGAAAATCCTTCATTAAATTTTAATCATGACGGTGTATTTCAGCAATTTTATTTTTTTAAATCCAGTTTACAAAATGGTATTTTGCTTGCAGGATTTCCTCTTTGTCCTCTAGATGTACTTGGGGCACCCTTATGTTGATATTCTGTCATTCTTGTAAAATGTACATAAAATTTCAATGGAGAAAAATTTAACAAAAGGTAAAGTTTTGAAACTTTGAAAACCATCCTGCATGGCAGTGTGCTTTTTTTACCCCACACATTGTCCATTTACCCTATTGTGCACAAAACAGCGTAAGGTAAAGTATTGCATATCACCTGCTTCCCCCCCCCCCCCAAAAAAAGCCAAAATGCTTAAATGAGGACCTGTATATGGCTTTGGACAATAGTAATTTATCAAACCATGTGCAGCATCTCTTTGGTAGTGTTTTTATTTAACATTCACTGGAAACCAGCGTTTACTACCTAGACCAGCATGTCCCAGTGCAGCAGAGCACTGTACACGCCCTGGTGAATGCCCTTCACTATACTGGAGATCGCTAAAAATAAACTTTAGTTTACACTACATCATTTGTGTGGCTTATTCCTGCCACCTTTTTCCTCATCTTGGCTGTTGATGTATCATTGGGGATATTTCTGTTCTAATCCTGTGTTGCATTTATTGAAGCAGTTTCCCCAGCAATTTTATGATGATCACATCCCTGTCGACCCAGTTCCTGATATAATCTGTCCAGTGTGAGTCGTACATTAACAGGATGTGTCATATTTGGACAGTGCTGGCAGAAAGGTGTGGTTGCAACACAACTGACACGACACTATTCACAATAAAGGGATGTCCTACAGCTGTGTGCCTTTGGTTCGGATGAGTTGTTAATATGGTCAAAACAATCTCTAACTGGGGTGAATCTTTACCACTTGGCATCACTGTAGTTCACAGCCAGTATAGTCTGCTAGTCTTCAGTGGCGGTACATGGCAGGTAAGCCAGTGGCCAACTGAGACCAAGCCGACGCTCTGCCCACGGATGGTACTGACAATATGATCGTGGCTCCACTCTCCTCTGTATTTTACGATATTCTCTGTATATGCACCGATAAACAATTCCTACGACAGAACTGGGAACACTTGTGTTTTACAGTCTGTGATCTCTAATTGTTTGACAGTATGCATTAAGCCTGGTATAACAGGAAGCCTATATTTTTTTTTTCTACGGTCCTCACAATTTAACATCTCATTAAAATGTAACGCCCTGCTTGAGCGATCCCAGTCACTCTCACCAAACTTGTGCATCTAATGTTGCCCTTTTATCATCGCCGTTCGCCCCTATTGAACTGTTTTTTTTAACCACATAAGCGGGAAATCTGGTCGTTTTAATGGAGGAGAAAGCACTAATAATATCACTAAGACTGCCCAATGGTGTTTAAAAGGGCGACTGGAAACGGCACATATACGGAACATGCCACATGCCGAAGTAATGACCGTTTCTGCGAATGTTAGAAGTCTTTGGCCGGCAGGGGGCGCTTAGGCACCGCAGGAGCGCGGCCACGCCGATGCCGGCGTCGGAGCGCTTCCTCCGGGCTGCCATCCATCAGCAGGGTGCGGTGTTGCACAGCTTCACACACCCACAGCCAAGATGGCCGACGCCGATTCCTGGGGTGAGGAGCGAGGCCGCTTTCCTATTTGCACGACAACGCGCAATAGGACGAGCTTGAACGTGTTTTGTGGTTCCGCAGACACCGACAACTTCGAGCCGGATGAGCCGATCAAAAAGGCGGCGGCGGCGGCGGCGGCGTTGGACAGATGGGAAGGAGAGGACGAGGAGGAAGACGTGAAGGTACCCCGGCGGCCAGCCGACTGCGGGGTGTGTGGGTGCCCGGCATTGGCGGTCGCCCTCTGAGCAAAGCGTACATAAAGCCACGCTCTGCCGGCTAAAACCATCGGCGTACAGGCGGGGTTGGTAACGCCAGGTTAACCTTTACCATGAGTACCTCAGAGGGCTGCAGCCGGTCTCTCTGGCGCCTGGCCGGCAGAAATTATGATAATGATCGGCATTCCGCCACGTTCGGGGTCCCCGGTCCTTCCGGTCAGACCGTTAAGGGTTACCCCGAGTTTCATTGTTATGGCTGCTAACTGGAGTCACTGCTCTAATTTGTTTTATTAAGATGGAGGATTACTGGACTTGTTGGTCTGCTGAGTCTTATGATCGAGGGTCATGATCACCGGCAGGGTGACGGGCTGCCATGCGGCACCGGGTCGGTCGGGTGCGGGCGTACGCGACGCGCACTGATGACGAATTAGTTGGATATAGAATAACTGTCACGTTTCTGCTCAACAAACGCAGGTAGCTGTGCGTCTCAATTAGGACCGTGCTAATAATAAGTGCGCGGTGTAGTTATTAGCTATAAGCTCCTTGGGCGGTTTGCTATATTGGGAGTTAGCTGAAAGTCCAGATATGGCCCCGCCAGCAGCAGTACACCAAACGTGTAGCTTTCAGTAAAAAAACGCCACGTTTGCAGTCTGATGAAGGCCGATGGCGGGCAGTGTGTCCCTCATGCCCCTGCCGGCGCAATGTCCGCCTATCTGCTGAACTCAGCGTCTCCTCCCCTGCAAATGTCATTCATCACCTCTCACTTCACATGTCGGCTCGAGTCTTTTGGTATTTTTCCTAACGCTAAAGCCGTTCAAACTGTTACAAATAAGACGCTATTAATGGCATTATGCTTTTCATTCTGTTGGTTACTGTACCTGATCGCATCTACGACTTACGCTTTTTTCGATAGATTGGTAGAGTAGTATAAGATACATAGGGTTAAAGCTTTGCATTTTTGTGCTATCTAGTAACAAAATGTACATATTCTGACTGTGTGCTGCAGGGAAGCCACTTCTGGTACGTGATACATTATCTAAGCTTGGGTACGCTGCAGGACTGTGATAGGTCCTGGAGCCCCAGATGTGCAGTGATAGCAGTGGTGCACAGTGTAGGCTGTGCTCCGCTTTGTATCTGCAGCCCCCACCAGTGTGTGTTCTACTTTTTGGATGTGAACTGCGAGCAGAGAATGCCCCCCAGCTTTTCATGGAGAAGCCTAAGCTATTAATTAGTATCTTCATAAGTAGATTTAACTGCACTTTTTACTACTGGGATGTCTTAGAGAATGTCTGAAGAAAGTAAAATGTCTAAGATAAGTATGGAAATATCAATTAGGAAAGTTTCCCATGTACTCATGTTTAGTCTACATGCAGTGGATGTGAAAAGCTTTTTAGATGAGTCTTAATGTCAGGTCAGTCTCATTGCCCCTAAAATCGTCCTTCCCCTGTAGGATAACTGGGATGATGATGATGAGAAGGAGACAGTTGAAATAAAGAAAACAGGTGAGGAATCAGAACCGCTTGTATCACCCAGAGAGCGCCTCACACGTGCGAGCACTCTGTCTGTTAATAAATAATCGCATGGCCTCTTTTTCCAGAAGTAAAAACATCAGACAAGAAGAAATTAAGTGAGAAAATCAAAGAGAAAGAGAGCTTACAGAGGAAAAATGAAGAAGAACTTGAACTTAAAGTAAGGTTATGCCTTTTGAGGAAATCATCAACTGTTATATGCTGGTTTGATGCATTTTAAATCTTCACTGAATTCTGTGTCGTTTTCACTGGCTTTCATTGCGTAGATGTCTTCAGAAATATGCTTGGGGAAAGTGTGTTTATGCAATTAGTCTCTCTAATTCTCAGTATTGTTTCTAGACTGAATTTGAAGTGAAAATAGTGAAGTTTAATGTAATTTAGTCTAATTCTTGACATTGTTAGGAGACGTGTTAAGTGAAGGATGTGGTGAATTGGCTGGGACCTTCGTCTCACTGTCGCCACTCTGGTGGCCACTGTGCTTCCCTCGTCAGTCAGAGTGGTCGGAGCAGCCGGGAGATCCCACACCCACACCCACACCCACACCCGAGGAGCAGCTGGATGAGAAGCTGCGAGTGAAGAAACTGCAGGAGGAGTCTGACCTGGAGCTGACCAACACACCCACACCCACACCCGAGGAGCAGCTGGATGAGAAGCTGCGAGTGAAGAAACTGCAGGAGGAGTCTGACCTGGAGCTGACCAAGGAGGCCTTCGGTGAGCGAGCGGGAGACTCGGAGCCTTCTGGGGCTCCGCGTGGATTCAGCTGCCGTTTCTCAGGAGTCACCAAATATTCCCCTTCTTTTTGTAGGTGTTGCTAATAATGTCACAGGAATCGATACCATGAGTCCTTCATCTAAAGACGACTTTGCAGAGTTTGAAAAGTTGCTCAAAGAGAAAATATCTTCATATGAAAAGTCTGTGCATTATTCCACTTTTTTGGAATCGTTGTTTCGTGATCTCTGCCTATCACGTGAGTTCTTCTGAATTCTATGTGTGCAGTCATCCTGTAATCCTATGTATTTGACGGCTGATGTGTAATTTGAATTGTACATAAAGATATTTTCATGCACTTGTGCACGGTTCTCCCCTTTATGCAGTGGAAGTAGAAGACCTTAAGAAAATAAGCAACGCCCTAACAGTATTACTGAGCGAGAAGCAGAAGCAGGAGAAGGTAAGCGCTTTGGGCACCAAACGGGTGCCTGTTTCTTTGCCGGGTTTAGTCTATCATAATGGCCAGTTGCTTGTTCGTTTGTGATCCTATTCTTTTCACTGGTTTGCCTGTCTTGCCAAGCCATACTCACGGCTGTCACACTTCTTAAGTTTTCGCGCACGTCCAGCCAATTGCAAACCGTGGTATTTTTCACCAGCAAAGTAAAGCCAAAAAGAAGAAGAAAGGTGTGGTTCCTGGTGGAGGCCTGAAGGCCACCCTGAAGGATGACCTGGAGGATTATGGGGGCTTCCAGGGCGGCTACGGACAGGAGTTTGAGGATTTCATGTGACCGCGGCTGCGCCTCACTGTCCGCACCTCACTGTCCGCAGCCCCTTCTGGCTTCACATGCTTGTCTCTTACACCCACTCCTCCCTGACTGTGCAAGACCCTGGTAACTCCCCATGTCATCAGCAGCACTCCCAAGATGTGTACAGCAAAAAAATCATGTCACCTTCACTTGACTTAAAAATATATTCTTTACAACGTTCCATGGCTATATGCTAATCTCTATGCAAATACAGACCAGGATGTACAGATTTCGTGCATTATTTTCTTCTTTGCTAGTACTACACTCTGTGTTGGATGTTGAGATGGATGGACGGACAGACGGACTGATGGATGGATGGATGAATGAAAAGATACTCAAGAACACAGGTTTCTTAGTACAGCTCTTAAATGCTCACTATCACACTCTCATTCAGACTGAGCAAATGGACATGGATGGATTTATAACAAAAAACAAAAAAAAAACCCAGAGGCTGAGTGTGAGGACCTTCCAGAACATTCCCCTGACATTGTGATGCCTTATAAGCATCATGAGTTTTGAGTTTTTAGTACTTATAGAAATGGAGTGTTTTCTTTCGTTTTCTTTTGTTTTCTTTTGTTTAAAGCAGGCGTAGAGAACCTGACCCACGGAGGGCTGCAGTGGTGGTGGATTTTTGGGATGGGGTCTCAATCAGCCAATCACAGTGGGTCCCCAGGACTGGAGATAAGTACCACTGCTTTATTATTGGCTGATTGAGAGGTCATCCCAAAAACCCCCACTTCACACACACCGGCCCTCCATGAATGAGGTTCAACACCACCCCACCCCCCCAAATTTAAAGTTAGGGGGAGGGAGCGAGAAGGGTTCATACAGCACTCTAAAAATGAGGGGGCAGCCTCCGTGTGTGAAACTAGGGTTTTCCGCTTTGCAGAGGGTGTTACAGGATAGTGCATAGACTCACAACGTCTGCTGTTTTATACATGTGTAATTTAATAAATTCGTTTTTTAAAAATCACACCTCTGGATGTAGTGTGTTAAATGCTGCAGGTACCTGGTCACGTGGGGGAGTGGAGGTGTGAAAGCCTTTCAGTGGCTTTCATAGGCTTATATAGAATCACAAGGCCCTGTGGTTAACGTTGTAAAATGATGATAAGTAGAAACCATTCAGCCACCCAACATGGAGCAGGTGGATTGATTAGTCGTCTCTTTTCAATAACACAATAGGGTAACTCAAATAACCTTATGTGCCACAAGACCCTCTCGCTTCTGGATGTACTGTTGGATAATGGCTGCTGCTGCTTACAGTAGATATTCCCCACTTAAATTGGAGATAGTTATACTATATCCTACAGGAGGTAGGGTGGCACAGTGGTGCAGTGGTTAGCACTGCTGCCTCACACCTCTGGGACCTGGGTTCAAGTCTGGGCTCAGAGGATGGATAGAGCTCAGGTTATCAGGCTTGTCCAGAATTATGCTGTATATTAGCATAATAAGCTCATACAGAAGATTATCAAAATAGTGCCTCTCTCACTGTCCATTTTATGGCAACAGTAGCAGGTCTTTCACTACTCCAGGAAAATTTAAGTCTGACTGGGTATTTCAGTCTCACATTTTTGGCTCAGTATTAAGTTTATAAACTATTTAGGAAACCTACACATATTCCCATACAGCTGCCTTGCTGAATGGCACATATCCATGAGGAAATGATCAAAGAGGGGTATGCATGCCCAGGGTAATTATGTAAACGTCATTTTAATAGGGATTAGTCCAGAATACACACACTATCGATTCCTGCTCAGTGTAATAAATATCCCGTTATTTACAGTTTCAAGTACTAAATATTTATCACAGTATACCTGCTATTAAATATCTAAGTTACATATTAAACATAGGAAAAAGAAACAGCCCACGAGGCACCCTTAAGTTAAAATGCCACGACAAACCTGGCAGTTGGTTTTCTCCTGGGGGGGGTCATTGTGCCTCTGCGGTGTGATGAGCTGCTGCCTGCCCCACAGAACTTAACGGGCAGGCCTGCCCCGTCTGGCGGGCGAGTTCTGGACACTACGCCGGCGGCTGCTACGCAGTGCGCCCGCACTGCCCCTCTGCCTCCTGTTCGGCCGGCCCTCTCCTGCGGCGCTCACCACTGATGGCCCCGGAACGTTCTGGAGAGCCTGGAAGACACTCTGTCGGGTTACTTCCTTGTCGCTGCAGGTGAAAGTGAGAGCGACGCCTTCGTCGGTTTTCATGACCCGGGAGGCGCCATCTGAGGTCCCGTCGAAGCAGCGGCCCAACGCGATCTCCTTGGCCGTGCGCGGGTCCTGATCGGTCACGGTGTAGATGCCGTAGTTGTGGCCCAGGGGATCTAGGGGCGCCAGCATGGTGAACTCACTGGTGTCATTGTTTACGGCAAGCGGCAGGTGGTTGACCAGGTACTCTTGTAGCATGGGCGTTACGCTGTCACGTTTGCAGCTGCCTTGGGCCATGATCTTCACCAAGGTCCGGTCCACGCGGTCCTGGTCATACAGCATCCCGCTGCACTTGAACTCCACGCACACGGCAGAAACGGTAGTTTTGTCCATGTCCCGGATGCTGCGCGTATCTCGGATGCCGTACAGCTGGCCCACGGTTCGAGGGTGGGTGCCGCCCATGTTACGTGAGCGCACATTGATCTCATGGGGAGCGTTTATCTTCACCTTCATGTAGCAGGCACGGTACTCCATTGGCTTAGGCCACCAGCTGAGGTAATCCTCTGTCCAGCTCATGGGATCATCCTCATTGAAAGGCACCGTGTTGTAATCGTACCGATCCCCCTCCACCCTGTAGAAGCGGAAGTGTCCCGAGCTGAAGGGGGCCTCTTCACACTCTTTCAAGTTGTCAAAGGCATAAATTGGGCCATTGCCCTCATCAGCCACATTGGGACTTGGCTTGGCCACATTGATACTAAACCCCGTCTTCTTCACCCTTGGGTCATCATGGTCTGTTCTCTTGTAGTTGAGCTTGCCAAGATAAGGTTGGGGGACTCCAATAGTATTTGGGTTGAATTTAGGAGAGGATGCAACTGCCTCTAGCTCCTCCCCACCCATGTTAGCCAAGACATAGGCTGAGTAAGCGTCCACCTTCTGATCGTCACAGAAAGCTGGCAGACATGCACCATTAGGCCCAGTAATGACGCTGTCAAACCGGCCCCAGGCCCGTGGGTTGGATGAATATCCTGCTGTGGGCTCCATATTGATTAGGGTCATCACCACACCCTCTACCTGCTCACTGGGCATGAAGCGCTCACTGCGGAAAGCTCGTACCTTCATGTAACACCTCCTGTTCTCTGCAACATCAAGGTTGAACAGCCTCCTCTCCCTGATCTCCATGTTACCGATGAGGAAAGTCCGCTCTTCTCGTTTTCCTCTCTGCTTCTTCTCAATGTGAAGGTCCCCCTCCTCCTCCCACAGGCTCGTTTCAGGATTCAGAGACCAAAGCTTCATAGAGTCCTGGTGTTCGGGTATCTTCACCTGGGCCGAGTCCAGGAGCACCTTCACCTCACCTGCATTCAGAGGGTTGCCCTCATTCTCATCGCGGAAGTCCAGCGAAAACATCCCATAGGTTCTCAGAGGAAGCATATCGCCTTCTTCATCAATGAAGTTGAGGTCACTCTGTGCAGCAGTTGCCGTTGAGATATCTCTTGGGTCCAGGAATGTGACACTGGCTTTCACATTGCCTGTGTAGACCTCTCCATTTTCTCGGTAGAAAGAATTGGGTGGGATTTGGAGGTATGCAATGGGATCCTGATCTTCCACCTCTCCCAGCCGGAGTGTGCTGGCCTCCGATGCACTAAGAGTCACCGGCTCCTTCTTCCTCAGCAGCTTGACCTCGTGGTACACAGCTCCACCTTTCTGGTTAAAGGGCAGAACCTTGGTGGTGTTCACCAACTTCTGCATGTGATCCACAAAGGTCAGCACAAGCCTCTGAGTGTCTGGAGGGACCGGGATGGAGAAGGTACCCTTGTAGCCCGTACGACTGACTCTGACACCATTCATGAAGATGTGTCCAAACCTCAATGGCTCCCCGTTGTCTGCCGCCATTGCCCGGCCACGCACTATGGCCTTGGTGTCCACACACTTGCGGCAGCCGCACTCCTTGGCCACCATGATGGGCAGCTGGTACCCCTGGCAGGATATCTGCCTCTCTTCCATCATGGCGATCCCACAGCAGTACAGCACAGAGTCCTTGCAGCGGATGCCGTTGTCTCGTTTCCCCACACACGTGGCCTCTGGACACTTCCCCACGTCATAGTAAAAAGACTCGCTCGCATTTTGGTAGCAGTCGTGGGGCAGACGGATCAAGTGGGGTTTGGGTTTGGGGTGACATGGGGGTGTGTCAGTACCTGGTGAAAAGATTTCAAGTGATTAGTTAGGGTTAGGGCTCCTTGCGGTTGGTTACTGTGCCTACAAAGCTGCAGCCGAAGATACGTGGAAGAGATGTGAGATTGTGAAGAATCAAAAATTTTTTTATGCAAAACTGACTGGATGATGCCCCATTATGGATGCTAAACATAATTTGTGAAAAAAATAAATCATTTGTGAAAATTGCCCGCCCGGTTCCGCTTTGGCATATTTATGTGATATAGATTTTTTTTTTTTTTTTACATTTCAAACCAGTAACTAAACTCTACTCACAGTGTACTGCTGTTACTAGTCTGACTATACTTGTTACTCCAAGTCAAACAACGTGGACTGAAAAACTATGAAAACCGAATACACTGACTAATCACTGCTAAAAGAGTAACTTCCAGAGCCTCACGGCTCTGGAGCGCCTGCTCTGTGAAAGCCGGTCAGTCCCATACCTATGACGGTAAGTGTGGCTGCCTTGGACTTGATGCTCCCTCCCTCATTGCTCGCTCTGCAGTAGTACTCCCCAGCCTGGTCCATCTGCAGGTTTCTCAGTACCAGGGTGCTGTCGTAATTCAGCTGCCTCTGGTCCAACAAGCTGCCGTTGTGGAACCTGTGAGACACGAGAAACAACCTGACCACCACACCGCTGGAGCAGGTCATACCTGCTGGCGTTTTACAAGAAATTCAACCGTCGTGCTCCTGCAGTTAAACTCCAGTGGCCAGCGCCCAGCCTTCCGTACCACTGGTAATGCTGCACCTCCAGAGAGCCGGACGCCTTGCAGCAGAACGCGGCCGTCTGGCCCAGACGGCGGGCTTTGTGTTCTGGGTGCTTCACCATGTACAGCTTCTCTGTGAGGGAGAGGGTGCAGCGGCCCAGCAGCCAAAAAGCACGGGTGAGTGAGCAGGTCGACAGGAAAGCAAAGCCGTCACCATAAAAATATGATGCTAATCAAGTTATATGCCACATCATAAAAATACAGTACTAATCATATATACAGGTCTGTGCAAAAGTCTTAGGCAGTCAAAGAAAATGCTTAAAGCTATTTTTCTGCATATTAAGTGTATATTTGCTAAGAGAAAAAAACTCATGCAAAAGAGTAGCACAAGAAAAAAATAAGAAGTTCTGTTTTCCAAAAGGTTTTTTCTTTGGCTTTTGGCATGACAAGGTGTCTGTGGCCACTAATAAATCAACCCCCTGCCCCCCCCCAAATCCATCCATTGTTCTTTATACAAAGTCAGAAACAGAACAGACAGGCTGACAGACATATATGCAGAGACAGACAGGTGGGCTGCCATCACCTGCTCGCTCCAGCCTGACGTGCAGCACGGACGTGCGCTCTGTGCTGTGCGGCACCACAGTAGTGAGCGGCGTGTGCTTCTGCAGGCGCACCGTCAATGTGCCGTTACCGTCCGGGCACACGCCAGGGATGCGGAAGTGCCCGTTGTGGTCAGTGACAGTAAGCAGCTTGGGGTACCGGCCCCCCCTGAGGATGGCGGCCCCTGGGGCGGGGAGCCCGCCGGCGCTACGGACTGAGCCCAGCAGGAGGTGGTCCTCGCACATGCAGGCATCGCATTCTGCATTCACACGTCCCATGATGCACTGCATGGTGCAGTCTGGAGTATCATCTACAAAACCAAGGAAGACCCTGTCAGCATGGATCTTCATGACTGTAGATACATTTAATTACACTTTTCATGTTTAGATTAATTCTAAATAATTTATAACCATTTCTGGTCTATCATAATTAATAGTAATACTTATTAACTACTGTATAAGATTCTGCCTGCAGTCAAAGGCACCCTTATTACCTGGACATGCTGGTCCTTTACAGGCTCTGCCTTCCACTGCAGGCCCATTGCACTGCTGCTCCCAGTGTTGGGCATGAGAATTGCAGCTCCTGGAGCGCACCTGTACGCCTGCCTGGCCACACTGGGCTGAACAGTCACTCCAGTCTGACCAAGGGGCCCAGGAGCTGAGGCTGACAGGTACAGGCCCTCCTGTACAAAATACAGATTAGAGCGGCTTTACTGAGGAAACACGCTGATTCCTGTCAGGCTTATACAGAAAGCCACAGAGTGTTTTTTTTTGTTTTTTTTTTTTTTAAAGAAAGAAACCTTTACCTTAAATATCACAACATTGTGAAATGTCGCACAAATGAGCCTTAAATGTTTACCTGCACAAAACTGTATAAGAAAACAATCTGTTCTGTTAAAAATGCTCGGGTCAGAATCACAATCGCATAAATGTCATTGCCGAGGCAATTTCTATAACCTTCCACATTCCCGGACGCCTACCCTGAGGGCACAGAAAGCGGACGGCGTAGTTGGAGCAGTTGTGCCCGGCCGGCTGCTCGGAGTTGGTGCACCAGAAGCCCAGCACTGGGTCGGCGTGGACTGTTTCCCCGGTGCTGCTGGCAGGGACCCAGTCGGTAGTGCGAGCCTCGATGGCCACGGGCCGCTCGCAGACCCGGTCGCGATAGTAGTAGCGGATAGCGTCCAGTTGCTCATAGTCGCCTCGGCCTCCGGGATGGTCTACGTTGAACCAGGTGCTCCATTCAGCGTGGTCTTCACAGGGGGGAAAGAAGGACATCATACTTCGATTAAAAAAATCAGACACTAAAACAAACACACCTACAGGTGCAGAACATTAAAGGGCTAGGCATTGCTTGCAAACACATGCTGGAGTACTCTGTTAGCATGCGCGACGATGCACCAAGATGGCGGCACCAAGCGATTGTGCAATACTATTACAACCCTCTGATAGATGAGAGAGAATGAAGTGCCACCTGTATGACAGGAGGACCGATACGAGTAAAATTCAGCGCAGATACTTTCATAAGTCATGAGGAAAAGGCATAAATTAACTAAATTAATCTTGGCATTTTGTGAATCAATATTGATTCGGCAAAACCAGGATCGTGATTAATCATAAATTCAACATTTTTTTTTCCACTCCTAGAACAAAGTGAATGACCCAAATCATGTGACAGCTTCACATTCAGCTCTTCTCCTCTAAGAGCATCCATGGCGTTGGCCTACCTTCTGAATGGTACGAGGCGGGGCTGTTCCCCCCACCTGCCTTCATCCCGGCCTGCAGTCCCCGGCCCCTGGTCCCTGTTTGACGTGCACACACACACACAGACAGACCCTTAACTGTTAAGTCTTGCTGTGGATACCGATGCAGGGGGAGCGGGGTACAGAAACAGGACGTGCTGAAGGAATGAGGCTTAAAGCAAGATCCATTAATGTCTTTGGCCAGCCAGAAAAAAATGAAGTTCTCTTTCCAGAGAACATAAAGCTGTGCGTAGGTACACACACATACACATGCACACGCACACATGCGTGCATACACACACACACGCATTCATGAAGCGTGACTAAAACAACATTCATTTAATTTATGTGCTCAATGAAATGTGAACCTTAGCCAGTAATTAATGGCACAAAACAAGTGAAGACAATTAACCACAGCAGTGTATTTAGACAATACGTACAGCAGAATCGCTCCCAGATGTATGAAATTAGGGCCCTTTTAAAAAGGTTGTTAAAAGGAAGTATTTTTGGTTTATATGCTTTAACAGCTCTATAATAAGCAGGTCTGTTCCTTTTCTGTCCGTTAGTCTCCCATAGAAGCTACTGCAGCCCAGGCTGACCGGACACTCCGACTGCAGACCTCACTGGAGACACGCGACAATATGGCAGGTGTCTCCATGGCCCAGGATGACGCACAGGCCTCACCGGGTGAAGACAAGTGAGATGTTTCAGGCTCCTGACGACCTCAGAGGAGCAGTAGCGACAGCTGTGTGCATCCATCTCCCGCCCACTCGATCTTGGCTCGGTGAAATGCCTTTGTCTAGATCAACTTACAAAGCTAAGCTATGCACCCGAAACGAACTCTGAAAAACTGCCACTAGTCTGCTCAGAAAGGCTATACAGTCTGAGACCTCATATAAATGTACCCCAGGATGCACAAGAGCATTTCTGATACTTAAAGTAACATCACAACTGCAGCATGTTCTCTCTTTACATGGTAGCAGAGTTCTACTATAAGCATAGATTGAGAGATTGAGAGAGTCTGACCTTGAGCCATGCTGGCCGAGACGACTCCCAAGGCAAAGAGAAGCATCCCCATGTGGCGACTCATCCTCCACAAAGGCTTCTAACCAAGAGAAACACAGGAGCCTAATTATAGGGATGACAGAAATCCGCTGTGAAAGAGAAAAACAGCAAAGACCAGAAAGCAGGATATGAAAACAGGGAAAGCTAGATGTGATCCTAACACTGCATGTAACATGTTCTAGGGAATTCCTTCCCAGCCTTTGAGGTACAATATTTAAGATTCATCACATACAAAATGCATTGAAATATCTATTCGAGGTTAAGCTGCAAAATTTTAATCGCACTATATGATGAAGCAAGCAGTAAACAGAATTCCAGCCAGCCAGCTAACAACCCCCCCCCCTCAGCCAACCCAACCCAATCCAATCCAACCCAAGCCTCATCTCTAAATGCTGAGGAAGCTGTCGAATGGAAAGAACATCGCAGAACATTGCAGAGGTGAATAAGGTCTGCTCTCCACTAAACACATCTGCAGGAATCATCACGGTGTGTCTGGGGAGTTATAAAATGTTCCCGTGTGCAACTAGGAAGCAGCAATATGTAAAGTTCTGAGAAAGGGCGAATGTCGCGACGTGCACGGATAGCTTTTGCAGATCTATAAAGCCCAGGTTCAGAATGAAGGGGGAAAATATGTATAAATCACACCTTTAAAAAATGACCCGTTTAGCTGCAGTAGCAGCAATTCCCAGAAGTTCATAAACCATAGCGTGCAAAAAAATGGTAAGCTAAAATTTCACCAAAATCCTCAACTTGCAAACGGTGACATTGTTTGGCAATTGAAATTTTTCAAATGTTAGTTATGATAAAGAGATACAATAAAGAGACAAAGACTGCACAGAGGACAGCAGAGGACAGAGCAGGAGCCCAAACTGCACCCTTACCACAGTGAGAGGTGTATCCAGAGCACAACAGCCTGATGGCTGGACCCCCCTCCCACTGCCGGGTTTTTATAGCATGCAGGCAGGGGGTGGGCTTCTTGCTACTGGGGGCAGAGCGCAGAGCCGGGCTCCGCTGCCTGCGGCATCTCGCCGCAGAGGGACCGCAGCACAGAGAGTGTCCTCAGAACTTCACCAGGCGCGGGTCATCAGAGCTTCACCAGGCGCCGGTCCTCAGAGCTTCACCAGGCGCGGGTCATCAGAGCTTCACCAGGCGCCGGTCCTCAGAGCTTCACCAGGCGCGGGTCATCAGAGCTTCACCAGGCGCGGGTCATCAGAGCTTCACCAGGCGCGGGTCATCAGAGCTTCACCAGGCGCGGGTCCTCATCCTTAATCTCCCACACTCATGCAGAAGATTTGCAAATACAAATCTCCCCAAATGTTAAAGAATAAATAAATAAATAATAAATGGCTGGGGTGGTGGTAGAAAACATTAAGAAAAAAATATTTCTGATAAAGATTTCAGGTGGACATTCCTGAATGGGGATGCACTTATCTCAAATTTCCATGTGCATACGTGGCTTAGATTACAAAGCATGTGCACTATTCTTTGTGTGAATGCAAGTCCTCTTGTAGTTTTTATATAAAAAGAGAATTACAAAGTTGTGGTATTTGTTTCTCTTTCGCTAAAGTGCACATTTCAAATGACCTGGAAAATCTGTCAAAGCACTTCCTCACTCCAAAAAAAAAAAAAAAGATTAATGAAGAGCTGCTTACTGGCATCCTCCCCAGGGACACTTACTGGGAGATTGTACCATAGCGTCACACATATGAGGAACTGGAAAACAGATGGATGGATGGATGGATGGATGGATAAGTCACCCCAATAATCACAAAAAGCAACAATTCCAAAGATCCACATTCAAGAAAATATTTGCTGGATGGGCACCAATCCAAGGAATAAATCAATGGAAAGAACAGAAAGCTGAAAGAAGCTGCTATGAAGCTGTTTGGAGCTGGCAGCAGAAAATTATATTTACTGTAATGAATTGCTAGATTAGTAAGTCATCAAGCAATCTGGCACTATAAGGTATAAATCCTGGACTCCCATGAAATGAGTCATGACTCCTTTCACTGCTCCACCCAGTGTTCAGGCGCCAAGATGCATGCAACAGGGACTTGGCTCATCACTGCCTTGTTGACATCATCAGATCATCTGTCCAGCTCCTGTTCATGATGCCCATTCAACACAGTGAGTCTGGACCCATGTGGCATGGAATACTCAGTGCCAGTTCAGAAACACCAATTCACCACTTTTGTGCCCTGTTGAGGAAATGGAAGGATCCATAGAAAACCTGAACAAGCAAACCTTGAGACCAGAGTTGGAACCCGATGAGAGCTCAAGGCCAGAACCATAACCCAATCAGAGCCCGAGGCCAGAACCGGAACCCAATCAGACCACGAGGCCAGAGCCGGAACCTGATCACATCTTGAGGCCAGAGCCGGAACTCAATCTGACCCCAAGGCCAGAGCCAGAACCTGATCAGAGCTCAAGGCCAGAACCGGAACCCAATCACAACGAGAAGTCTGAGGCTACCCACTGACCCAGCGTGGTGCATTGTTTAGGGCACATTGGAGAAGAAAATACAATATTTACTACTAGTTTGGTTCCACCAAATCCAACACAGCCCATAAGATAAAATGGAACCAGCAGCACTATTAGAATACAAGAGATCATGTTCAAAATATTGAAATGTAGGAATAAATTACCACAGGAATACAGAGTATAAAATGAGTTTAGCTAATTATGGTACATTTACATCTGTATATATGTCTACAGTTTCTGGCACTTTTAAGCATGTGTTTAATATGTGTTAAAAGGGCACCTGGGTGGGGATGAGGATCCCGCACAGCCCTGACTGAGACTAGGGCACCTGGGTGGGGATGAGGATCCTTCACAGCCCTGACTGAGACTAGGGCATCTGGGTGGGGATGAGGATCCTTCGCAGCCCTGACTGAGACTAGGGCATCTGGGTGGGGATGAGGATCCTTCGCA